CAAGGACCGGCACAGGAGCTAGTGAGCGAAGCACTGGTTCTCACGACGCTGGGTGGCAATGACTTTGTTAATAACTATTTTTTGACACCTTTCGCTCCTAGAAGACGCCAATACACTCTCCCACAGTACTGCAGTTATCTCATCTACGAGTACAGGAAGTTCCTTTTGGTATATATAATTATATATATTCATCGTGAAATTTTTACATATGTAACATTGATGTGTAATGTATTTTTTAATTTTTTTTATATTTGATATTGCAGAGGCTGTATGGTTTAGGAGCACGCAGGGTGATCGTGACAGGGATTGGACAATTGGGTTGCGTTCCTGCTGAGCTGGCCTTGGCGGGTAGCGTGAAAGGAGAATGTGCGGGGGAGCCCCAACAAGCAAAGGCAATTTACAATCCTCTGCTTGTCCAAATGCTTCAAGAACTCAACACAAACGTCCTGGGCTCCAATATTTTCATTGCTTCTAATGCATTTGATATGAACATGGACATCATCAACGACCCAAAAAGATTTGGTTTGTTCCATCTAAGATCACTATTCACTAACATTATATATATATATATCAAATGAATATATATACTTTTAGCTATGAAAATGATGTGTGTGCATTTGTCTGTGATTGGTGATGCAGGTTTTAAGACTTCAAAGGTAGCATGCTGTGGGCAAGGACCTTACAATGGACTTGGAACGTGCAATTCTTTCTCTTTTCTTTGCGCAAACAGGAATACCCATGTGTTTTGGGACGCTTTTCATCCAAGTGAGCGTGCAGTCAGGCTCATTGTTAAACAGATGATGACTGGCTCTACCAAATACATGAACCCAATGAACCTAAGCACCATTGTGGCCCTGGATTCCACCTAATTGATAAATAATTAATGTTTACGCCTTTCAATCTACACGTACCATCTATTTTCTTAAATATATATAATTAGTGTTTTGTCTTGTTGGTGCAATTTTGAAGTGTTAGAGAAGTATCCTGGGTATGAAATTGTGAGATTCTATACTGATTGGTATGTTGCTGTACTGAACTTTAGTTCTATATTTAGTTTATCTCATTTCATCTTCCTATGTATTTTCGGTACTGAGTGACAATTCTATGGTGAATCATCCTACTTTCAAATATCCTTCAAAATTTTCCCCTGCTGTTCAATATTGCAATTTAAGTGAAAAGGAGAAAAGATGTAATATTAGTATTATTATTATTGGGGTTATAATAATCAGTATAACATTTCAAATACTATTTCAATTTTAATACAATTAAATTGTAATATAAGAAAAATTAGATTTATTTATTTATCAAAAAATAAAATAAGAGAAAAACCCAATTGAGACAAAAACTTGGTAAGGAAAAAATAGTGCAATAATTGACAGTTAATTTATAAATTACAAAATTACAATTTACAAAACAACTAATATAAGGGTTGGTTAGGACTCTCTCATCTGTATTATCTAAATTACAAAATTGAAATGATTCTATTAAAGTATCGTCGACAACTTCATATTGATCCTAATGACGCGATCATTCTTATTCTCGAAGACATGTGAGGACTTCAATCAATTTTGGTGAAAGTTTAGTCCTCGTTTCATTTAAAATTCTTTCACTTGCAGTAAATATTTGTTCGGATGGGACGGTAGAGACAGGAACAGAAAAAACATCCAGGGCAAGTCTTGATAGTGCCGAAAAAATACATTTTCTGGTTTTCTAATAATTTAAGACATCAAAGTTGGCTCTTTCTTGTAGATCTGCTGGTAGCAAGTCAGGGGTTCACAAATATTAGTGAAGTTTATTACTTTGCAGCTACATGGAGGAGATTATATTCGTTGTTGATGCTTCTGAAGAGGAGGTTGTGCTTCGGGTTCAGGTTTTCTTCCACTTATCAATTGCACTTCAAAAGTCGAAGTCTACATTTGTGTCTTCTGCTGGTTCTTCCTTGGGTATTGCGCATCTTCGTTAGTTCTCATACCTACTTTCATATTACAAATATACCTCTCAAAGACACTCTCTTATATGTCCTAGTTGATTAGTATAGTCTTCTTCTTGTAAATTTTCACTTAACATGTCTAAAACTTGTTCTACACCCGCTAATTTGACAGTTAAACAATAAAGAAAATGAATGGGTTTCCAATATTTTTTAAATTTAAATTCCATTGCTTCTATTGGTTCGCTAAAATTTCATTGTTTCTGTTTCGAGAAAATAAATTTGAAATTTCTAAAATTGTATGTATTATTAATGGACTAGTAGGATAGCACACACCAGAAAGTTTTAACATGGTAACATAAAAAGTTTTAAGAAAATAATAAATTTTTTTAGCTATATGCCAATCACTCTCTACCAAAAAATGAAGACCCCTCTTATTTGCTATAAAATAACTAATTAAATTTGATAAGGTAAACATGATCAAGAATTAAATAAATACTATTATACCTAACTAGCATGTCTAATGCAAAAGTTATTGAAGATAAATTTAAAGTTTTACAAGCATCTTTAAGTTTATAATTTTTTTTACTACTACTAGTAATCTAAGTTAAACAATCTCTAATTATATTAATATTATTTTTAATTCTTTTCATACCACTTCTTACAATTAAATTAATAATGCGACATGCACAACGTTAGTGAAAAAACTTCAAATTGTCATAAAAGGAAAATTTAGTTTAAAAAAATCTACAACTCTATTGTTAGCACTTGCATTATCTAAAGTTAGACTTATTACTTTGTTAACCAAATCATATTCTTCTAAAACTTCAACAATTTTAAAATAAATTCTTTGACCACTATAATCTACATTCATTAATTTAAATCCTAATAAAGATTTATTTAATTTACATTCGTTTTCAAAATAATGACTAATCACACAAATATAATATTGTTTAACTCTACCACTCAAAATATCGATTGTTAGAGCCACACAAACATGACTACTATATGTTTTATTTCTTAATTCTAATTTCATTTTGTTAAATAACTTTATTAAATCATTCCTAGTTATAGTTTTGGAATAAGTTTTAAATTTTGGTAAAAATGAATTTTTAATAAACCTTTCAAAATATTTGTCTTCAGCCATATTAATAGGTTGATCGGTTGCAGTAATACATAAAGCTAATTGTCCTTATATACATCAGAATTATAACATCAAGTCTTACTAGTACTAGTTATTTGAGTTTGATTGGTTTGTCTATTTCCATGATGATTTATATGTTTATCTGGATGCCTTTTTAAAGTACTAGTACCATTATCTGCATAAATTTTATAAATATTTTTACAATACTTACATCTTGCTTTCTTCCCCTAAACTCAATTTTTTGTCTCGTAAAACTTTACGAAATGCATCCAAATGTCTAACGTGTGCCTGTCGTTGGTTCTGATTAGAGGTGGAACAAATGGGCCGGGTTAGACGGGTCAACCCCAACCCGGCCCACATTAGAGAATAAGGCGGGCTAGGTTGAACCCAACCCGCATGCAACCCTCGGGCAAACCGGGTTGCTATTTGTTTACAATATCCAACCCGACGGGTTGGGTTGGTCCAAAAAAAAAAAATTTAATTATTTTTTTCAAGTTTCCCCAATTTTTTTTATTTCTTTTGATTAAACAATTATGATTGAACTCTTACAAATAATTTTACACAATAATATTAAACTATACTTCTAAATCATAAATATTAAAATGTATAAAACTTCGTAATATTTGACACATTGTTATTATTATTTTTTATGGTACGTAAAATATAAAAAAATTAAATTCTGAAGTCTTATTCTTAAATTTCCATGTTTTGTATAAAATATAATTAATTCTTATGCTAAAGTTTCATCAATTGAATGAATAAATCTAATTTTTCTTATATTACAATTTTATTGTATTAAAATTGAATTAATATTTAAAATGTTAATAAAAAATTAAATTAAATTATTGATATTTGAAAAGTTAACTAAAAGCAATTACATTTATTTATTTATAAATCGTTAATTATTTATTTGAAAAGTTAACTAAATAAAAAAAAATAAAAAATAAAGGGTTAACCCGGCCCGACCCGCAGCCTAACCTGGCGGGTTAGGGTTGGCGGGGTTGGGCCAACCATTACCCCAAAAATGGCGGGCCTAACCCGACCTGCCTTTGTTGGTGGGCGGGTTAGGACCAACCCGTCAAAAGAAGTAACCCATCGTGGGCCGGGCTGGGCAGGTTACTTTTTCACCTATAGTTCCGATAACTGTAGTTGATGAATCCGTTTCCACTTCAGATGGAGTTGGACGAGGATGACGATTACGATAACGACCTCTTGAATCATTGGGAGTTGTAGCAGCACATGGAGGAAGGGGAGAAATATTATGAGGTGTATCAAATTCTGAGAATGGGAAAACAAGATTGTTTGAATCAACTACGTTTATCCTAGTAAATTCAGGGGGACTAGAATAATTTTCTTCATCATTGAAATTGATAATGTGATAGAAATATGTATCCATTCTAGTTAAAAAAAATGGATATAAAAGAATTAAAGAAAGAGAATTGAAATTTGGAAATATGAATTGAAAATTGTAAAAAGTAATAAAAATTAAAATGAGAGCAAATTGACAACTAAGATTTGAGAGATTTATAAAGCAATCGAAGAAAATAAGAGAATTTTAAATGTGAGGAAATATGAGAAATTTAGGCCCTATTTATAGAGAAAAATGAGAAAATAAAATAACAAAAAAACCACTTCAATTACTATAAAACGGTTATATTTGAAAGGTAAAATGTGTTTTGGAAATTTTATTTTTTATTTTTTTGTCGCTAACCCGCTGGGTGGCGGGTTGGCGAGCGGGCTGCCAACCGCCAACTCGATGGGCCAGACGATTTTTTATTTTTTAAATAACAATATGTCGGGCCGTTGGGTTGGCCGGACCAGGCCCAGCCCGCCCTTAAGCCGGGGCAGGCCCTGGTCACGCCTAACCCGCCCATATTTTCCACCTCTACAGTCCATAACAAGTGTTTTCGTTTTCTGGACTGTACTGAAAAGTCGAGCACGTTGTAGGGTGGGCATGCAGGGAGTGAATAATTAGCGATTCAAAAATTTAATTTTGAAACTGCTTCTGTTTTCTTTCCAATAACCCAATTACAACTTATGATACATATTTTTTACATTTTTTTTTCTTCAATTGCGCGCTTAAATTAGGTTACCATAATCTTATTTTGTTCTTAAATTAGGGTCTTGAAAATGGTGCAAAAAGCTCCTTCTTTGGTGTCTCTAGCCATGGAGGTACTGAAAACAGAGCTTCTTCGAGGTAATTGTTTCTATTTTACTTCTATTTATGTTTTTTTTTTTTCCATAAAGGCTTCCATGACTGATTTGGTTACTTTGGTGCTTGCAGAGGATGATCTAGTACCGATTATTTACGAGATGCCGGTAGAATTATTTGATATTTTATTGACTCACTTGCCTCCCTTGGGCTTGCAGAAGTTACAAAGAGAAATGTTAGTCTAATCATATTATTTTTCAGGTTTATTGATGTTGGTAATGGTTTAGCTGGGTTTTGTGTTTACATATTAAGTTCAAATCTATGTTGTGTTTTCAGTTAGTAGCTTAAAAAATATTAATTTGGATGAAGTTAAGTGATGGGTTTTCTCTCGGACAGGCCATTTAAGGACTGGAATGACTACGGATCTACCTATGATTGTTCAGGAAATGAGAGAAAACGTGGAAGGTTAGAGAGAATTGTGTCTTATTTGTTTGGGTTAAAAAATAGTAATACATTTTACTGTGGTGTCCATGAATTTGGGTAACGCAAGTTCCGAGCAACACTACTATTGAAATTATAAAACTAATGATTTTACAGAACGTGGAAGTTGGATGCAGCTTGGAAAATGTTATTCAAGAAACGTTGGCCACAGATTGTCCATCAAACTGAACCAAATGGCTGGGAGCAAACATATTGGGAAGCACATTTGCAAAGGCTTGTTCGTTTTATAATAAATAAACATTCTATTAATTAGTGTTATTTGTTTCTTTTTTAGTGATCCTGTTTGTTTAAATGAATGACAGTTGCCTAGATGAAGCAGCAGAGGTAGCTGTACTCCCATCTTTTGACGGGTTTATTGGTGACATAAAGATTTCAGGTTAATTGATGCAATTATTGTTACTTTGAAATGTTGGATGAAGTTTCTTGCTGGCTTAGTTGGTTGTAAAGGCCCTTGAAATCTATTGGGTGCCAGATTCTTTGTCATTTTGGTTGGCACTCTAATGTGCTTGCTTCTATTTGCATACAAATGGGTAAACTCTGGCACATGATTCCCTGTGGACTGGGCACTAACATTACAAAGTCTCAAAGCGACAGCTTGCCATCATTTAGATGCATAATAACATCAATATGTGTTTGGCATATTTCTTTTTATTAGCAGCATGAATTACCTGGATATGGAGTAAGGGCTAATAGTTACTTTTACCTTTAACATGATTATTAGAAGTCATCTTTGTCTCTCCGTAGTGTGCATGGGTGTAATTTACTTTGCTGATAGCCTCGCAAAATTTGTAAACTATTTGTTTTTCTTGTTTTTCTCTTCTGCACAGGCACTCTACTGAAACATATTGGTTATGAGGAGCAAATGAATCATTCAGCCTGTGAATTTTCAATGTTATATTACCATTGCCAGCAATTTGGGTGCTATGCTAGGTAAACCTGTCAGGTCTTCTTTTTTGTGAGAGCGTAGGCCGGTTTGCGCTTCAATGACTGGGAACTTAATTTAACACTATGATGTCTATTAAACAATTGGTCTCTGCATATTTTATAATCCCTTTCTGGAGCCTATTATGATTGACCTGACACTTGTCTTTCACGTTGGATTAATTTGATCATTAATATTTTCTTTCAAGTAATCATTGATATGCAACGATCCCAAAATGTTCTTTTTGTTATAACTTTTCTGGGAAATCTATAATTCTTACTATTTCTCAGGCATGGGATGCTTTAGGTTCTCACACATGCTTTTTCCTTTGTGCAGATCTCTGAGACTTCAAAATGTGCTTTGTGTTGACGAAACTTGTGTAAGTCATTCTCATAAGCTTAAGGAAACTGTTATTAAAACAGTGAGTTGGACTTTAGTATTAACGTTTGTTGAATGATCTCTCTTTTAATGACCTGGATAGACTATGGCATCTTTTTATTGGCTTCCTTTCTTGGGGGAATGTTTTTTATTAATTTCTTCGAATCAACTTCCTTAACATGCAGTTTTATTGTGGCCATCTCTTCAAAATCAAGTACTTCTGTTTCAATCTAAAGTTTCCAAATCTATCCATTTATGTATATGTACATGCAAATTATCAAGTATAAATGGGCTTTTCTGTGCTGTGCATGCACTATGTGTATTTAATCTCGGGTTCTTTTTTAATGTAGCAATTATTGAAGAACAGTATGTTGCAAAGCTTGATAATATTGTGGGTCAGATCCCAAGAACATGTAAGTCCTGTTTATTTTTTTAAGCATGCATTAAATACTGATTAATGCACAACTTTACATTTTTGTGTGAATAGAAATTTTGTGAATAGAAGAAATTACATCAGTTTTAATGCATGCTTTTGAATAGAAGAAATTTTGAATGTACAAACAACCAAAAAGCACCAAGTGGCTGCTAAAAAGTTTTATATTTGTATTTTGCTCAAGCATTGCCTAGGAATATTTTGAATTTTATTGAGTGAATATAGTAAGTGTGCTAAACTCTTCCTTTCCAACGTGGAATCTGATTGTTCATAATTGACTTATTAACAGGTGCATAGCTTATCCAAACTTATATTTCAAAACCTTGAAACATTAACATCACTCGAATTTCGTCACTGCAAGCTATGTGCATTTTTTGTCGCATCAATTTGTAGTGCTCTTTTCGACAAGAGTTTGCGAACACACAGGATTCGGCATTTCTCAATCATTACATCAAGCTTTTATGAAAACAGCCCAAGCTCTGTGACTCTGGAACTTATTTCGTTTCTCTCTGCTGGAAGGTACATCTTGTAATTTCAGGGTTCATTCTTGTTCAACCTATAATTTTTTCATATCTGTGATATCTCTTTTGGTGCTGATTCACTTGACAACTACTGAACTTTTTGGGCATTAGTTGGTAGCTCTTAAATGGGGAAGATAATATATCAGCCTCCAAGAAGCCTTGAACCATGATCTGAGGCATGAACTCTACCTGATTTTTTTTGTGCGCCTTGCTGTTAGCTATCTTTGAGAGGACATGTAGCTCTTGATCTGTTTTCCCGATCAAGGATAGTCTTTGACTAGAAAGCAGCTTGTCATAGGAGCCTAGTTTTCATTATTGGAAGTTTATTCCTCATTGGTGCTATATTTTAAGAAGAATGGGGAATCTGTGGACCAGCTTTTAATGCATTCTTCAGTTGCTTGGGAGTTGTGTGATGTCTTCACTTTTTTTGTTTTGAGTGGGTTCCCTGAAACTGTTTTGTGCTTGTTCAAAGAATATTATGGACATTTAAAAGGTGTGAAAAGAGGATTGCTTGAAAAACTGCACCTCTTTGCTTGATATGTTGCATTTGGAATGAGCAAAATAGGTGAGTCTTGACAAGTGTCCCCTCATTAGATGAACTCAGAACTTTTTTGGGCTCTTTTTCTATAGCAAAAGGGTTCTCTTGTTCGGATTCTCTTGTTCTTCCTATTCTCTTTTGGATTTTTCAAATTTTTTTATTTCCTTCCTAATCTACTTTTAAGGGTGTGGTACACTTTTTGTTCTATCCTTGTACTTAGGGCTTGGCTGCTTATCATTTACCCAATAAAGTAGAAAAAAATGGTAATGTTTGGGGGAATATGAATAAATAGCTCTATTTAAGGATATCTATACATTTTTGTTATCAGGTTGCATCTGACTTCATCAGGTAAATCACTGCAATAGCATCTACCCTTACTTATACTGCCTTTTGCTGTCAGGTCACTGCGTTCATTGAAGTTCAGTGACAGCCATCTGGACAAAATTTTTGGAAGATTGCTTTTCAGTGTCCTGCTTGAGGCTTCATGTGGTTTATCCATCCTTGATCTTTCAGGAAACAATGTGTGTAATGTCTTCCGATTAGATTATATACATTTTGTTACCATTAATTGCCATAAAACTTCATATGCAATCTTGTAGATAACAGGATGGCTTTCTAAGATCAACCAGGGATCCCCAAGTGATTCCCTGTTATCTTTACCAGTGAAGACTTTGCAATCGTTACGTTTTCTCAATCTAAGGTATCACCCAATTGATGTGCTTTCTTTGTTTTCATGCAAATTAAGTAATGTACCAGCAACTCATGGAAGTTGTAGTACATAGACTACTTCCTGTTATATTAATCTTCTGTGTCCTATGAAGTTAGGGTTAGAGGATATCAGTTACTAAACAAACCCATAATTGATGAGGTTTTATGCATTGTATTTCATTACAAACTGTGTTTCATGCATGGTACATAAACCTATACGTTATTTTAGGGGAAATAATCTTCGGAGAGTTGATGCAGAGGATCTTAGATACGCACTGGTTAATATGCCTAACTTGGAGAGCTTGGATATAAGTGAAAATCCCATTGAGGATGATGGAATCAGGTCAGTTGATTTGTGCTCCCGTCATATTTCAAGCATTATAGTTATGAAGTCTCACAAGCAACAACTGAACTTTCAGAAGTTTAATTCCCTATTTCATTCAAGTAACTGAAAGATCCCATCCCTTGGCTAAACTGAATTTGGAAAATTGCGAGCTTTCCTGCGATGGAGTGATTGCACTTCTTGATATGCTTTCAATGTTGAGAAAACCCCTGAATTCTCTCTCTATTGCCGATAATGTCCTTGGAAGGTTTGTTTGGATATTTCGAGTGTTGAAGTTTACTTATTTTTTTCCTTTTTCTTTTTACTTGAGTATGACTTGGTTGTAAATGCTATCCTCCAGTCGAGTAGCAGCTGCTTTGGCAAAGTTTTTGGGCACATCCATTCAAGTACTAAATATTGGAGGAATTGGACTGGGTTCATCTGGCTTTCAGGCACTTCAAGTTGGAATGCAGGGGGCGTTGAAGCTTGTCAATATGGACATAAGGTTTAGATTGATAACTCATGTTTTTCTTAACTTCTTTTATAGTGCATCTCTGCAAAATTAACGTATTAGTAAATTTGTTATAGTAAAAATCGAGGTGGGTACGAAACTGCTAAGTTCTTGTCAAAGCTTCTGTCATGTGCACCGGAACTTGTTGAAGTTAATGCAGGATATAATCTTATGCCTTCAGAATCCTTGTCCATCATATGCTCCGCCCTAAAAGTCGCAAAAGGTATTCATTGCAATAATAAAGTGATCTGTTGAATTTGTATTGGTGTATGAGTCTTGGTTTTTCGTTTTTTATTTTTGATGATATATGACTTACTAAATATTCATTCACAAGTTTGGAACAACATCATTCTTGTAATATGACTTATAGCACACGTGTGCACTCACACCTGCAGGGACACACTTAAGTCTTATAATTAAGTAGGGTGAATTTGAGAGTTGGAGGACAAATATTTATAGGCAATAAAAAAGCTGAATCGTATGAAATTGAATGATGTGTTTCATTTGGTGAACATTCTGATCTATATAATTTAATTATAAGTTACTGATCTTATTATTCTGTGTGTTATTATTAAGGTCATCTTCAGCGTGTGGACTTGACGGGGAACAACTGGAAATATCAACCATCTCATGTTTCCATGGTTGCTGAATTCCAGCATAAAGGACGGCCTATTGTGATATTCCCATCGCTGGTAGCCTCAGATGTGCCTTATGATGATGATCCCTAGATATACTGGAGCTGTGTTACGAGACAGTTCCCCTTGAGTCACTAGGGCTGTTTTACCAATGGTACAAAATTATGCTGGTATAACAAGCATATTTCAATGTAATTATATGTAAGATGCATGTCTGCAGTAGGCTTTAATTGGCTGGTTGGAGATTTCTGTTATGAAGTTCTTACCATTTTGTACCTATTTAATTAGATAACTTCGAATTTAGTTGATTCTTCAGTACCCTTGGTCACCTTGAAACAGACAATTACCTGCTAGGAGGTTCACACCTAAAGCATCTTGAAATTTGATTCAGAAATGGATTTACAAACACAAACATATAGAAAGGAATAGCTTGTTTAAGATCTTGTGCAAGTACAGGGCATTGGACAAAATATATTGAACTAGTCATGTTGGTCGTTTGTCATTTCACCTGATTCCGATTTGTACAGTGGCTTCTTGCCTTATGGATAGGGCTCTCATATAATGTTACAAAATACTGTACACTGGTGGATTGACAGTAGTCACATTATACTTTTTTTAAAGGTGAATTCTATAATTTTTCATGGTTTGTCAGGATCTACGTGTATCACCAAACCATTCAGGAAAAGCAGTGTCTAGTTGAAGTGTTAAACTAATAATCCCCTCACTTCAGAAGCTGAACAAAAAAAAAAAAAAGAAAAATTATTACCAATAATTTGGTGGTACGGGGGGTGAAATATATGGGACTCCTATTAGTAAAGGCTCACTTTCAAGACTTTTTATATATTACACTACAAGAGCATCCGATGCAAACTCATTTTTGTCCTTGATTGACTTGACCACACACCATGAGTAGAGCATATTATAGCTAGAATAGAAGGAACCCTTCACATCCTGGTTATCTTATGATATCCTATCCTTGAAGGTTTTGATTGGAAATGTTGAAATTGTAAATGCTGGCTTGTCCATGAAGAATAATACTATTAAAGAAAAAAAGATGTACCTCTCTCATGAATCATGATTATGGTTGATAGAATATTTGTTTTTGCATGTAGTTTATTTGATATTGAATACACACAAAAGCAACAAAACCCTATTAGTTGAGGAGTAGTAGGACTTTTTTTTTTTTAATTGATTTGTCAATTATATACAGAGAGGTTTTTGTATTCTAGGCTTCACCCTTGTGCCAAGTGGTTTACGCCGCTTTACCTAACCACCCAAATGAGCCAACCTGTAAAGGATTATACTATTCATAAGACATTGCAATGGGCGCTTGATTTATTCATTAAGAATTGGTTTCAGTATTTTGTAATGCAAATGCAATCGTATCACGATGAAGCAAAAAAAGTAACAGTGGACAACACTTATTCTATCTTTTCCTTGAGTTATGTCCAACAGAGGTGGTTGGGTTGGCTTTGTCATGAAGTTAGGCTTTTATTGTTTATGCTTAATCAATCATCCACCTTTTGAAACTTATCCCTTCATAAAACTCAATTAACTACTAATTGAATGACCCATGAACGAACATTTTGTCACTCCATTTATTGGTACAACTTCTAATCGATGTTTAATTTTGGAGGCTAATAATCCATCATTAGGTACCTTGAATTCAGCTCCATTTTTCGAGGTCCACTTAGAAACAAAAGAAAATTCAAAACGCATTCATTAATTATAATTATCGTGAGATAAATCAGGACCAACCTGCGCTTGAGCTGGGCCATTTTCTGAATTCAACATATAGGTTGGTTTATTGAAACTTGCTTCATAGGTGACATGTTGCCTCAATACTAAGCAAATGGACATTCTTCTCCAGAGCCAAAAATGATTGGATTAATTATTATTTTTTATTTTAAGTTTATTCAGTTACAAATATTATTAGGTGTCTTCATCATATAATTTTTGTTGTTTTCTTGTATTGGAGATCAAATGAAAGTAAGAAAGAATGGTTGAATTTCTCATTTGATAGGATTAAGAGAAAGACATATGCAATGTTATAAAGCCAAAGTCAAGGTGATTTCAAGTCTCCAAGATGCTTACATTACATGCTATACTTAATTTAGAAATGACGTGTTCAGATTATTGTTAATTCCAAGTAATTTCTTGATTTTCAACCAACACAATTATTTCCAATTCACACTTCAAAATAACAAATATTCTATTTTGACCCTTCTATCTTATTTAATTTAACTATCTCAAAATTCATTAAAATTTGTGTTTATAATGAGAAGAAGATTGTCCAATTAGAATTCGGACACATCTCACAGTCACAAGGAGATTATTAAAATATAAATTGAATATTTGGCAGCTTTTACTGTTTTTAAATATAATTAATTATTCCTCGCTTAATTGAATTGATGTCACAATTATTGAACCATTTCTGTATCTATCAAAACCAACCGGGCCGAGCAAAACAAGCCCACCCGACAATCCTCTTTCAACCATTGAACTTTACTTACTGTAATATAAGATAATAAAATAAACAACACGCACACAATTCACAATAAAAACTAAAAGTCACACATTACCCAATACCCATCACATTCACTCAGTTATACACTTATACTCACTTCAACACAGTGGCAAAAACCCGTAAATTAAATTTAATCCCGTGGGTAAATTTCCCACCCACCCCAACCACATAGTTTCTTCATCTTCTCCGTCAATTCTAGTCTCGACTACCTTTACTCTCTCTCTCTCTCTCCTCTAAACCAACTCTTCAACTAAATTAAGCGACACTTCTCCGCTAAATCTCTCTCAAGCATTTCACTCTCACTCACTTCACCACCAACACCACCATTTTTAAAAAAAAAAAAAAAATTAAAACAACTGAACTGCTTTCGACGATAAATCGAAACAATCGTCACTCGCATTTCTCACTCTCTCTTTCTCTCTCTGTTCCTTTCGTTTCTTCTCGATCGAGAAGAATCTTGTAGATCTGAGACGTGTGGCGCCAGATCGAACCTAGATGGAGGAGGCGCTGGAACTCGCACGTGCCAAGGACACTAAGGAGCGGATGGCCGGAGTGGAGCGTCTCTATCAATATCTCGAAGCTTCTAGAAAGAGTCTTAGTAGTGCTGAAGTGACTTCGCTTGTGGATACTTGCTTGGATCTCTTGAAGGATAACAATTTTAAGGTTTCTCAAGGCGCGCTTCAGGCTCTTGCCTCCGCTGCTGTGCTATCTGGTGAGCATTTCAAACTGCATTTCAACGCTCTAGTGCCTGCTGTCGTTGAGCGATTAGGGGACGGCAAACAACCTGTTCGTGACGCCGCTAGGCGCCTCTTGCTCACTCTTATGGAGGTATTTTCGTAATTACTGCTCACCTTAATGTTAATCTTGTTTTTAGTCTTTAAATGCTGAAGTTAGATATTATTATTTTTCAAATATTATGCCAAAAGATTTTGTATTCACTTACACGACTTTGCCGTTTCTTTTTTTTATTTCAAGATTTTCAAATATATTTGCGGTTAGAGATATGCTAACGACAGCAGCTAGTTCACTCTCTAGATAATTTTTTTTTAGCAATGGCTTCTGTATGATATTGTGATACAATGTGCCCGATGTTTTCATTTCTTGTTTTCCAATCTAGATAAGTATTGGACTCGTGGCAGAGAGTGAAATAGTAATTAAATTCATTTCTCTTTTTGTGTTATAGATATTATCTCATATTCTGGTGTTTGTCTTTCATCAATTTGTGGTTGTTTTATTGAATGTGAAGTTATTAGCGGGTGTACTTTTATATAATCTGAACTTCTATATACTTGTTTAGATTATGAGAAAACTAATACTTCGTTTTGTCCATGAGAGCTGCCTTCTTGTTTCATTATTCTAATGCAATGTTGCAATTCCTTAGTTTGCATTCCAATTTTTCATTTTTTATCCCAAGTGATGTTCTATTGATTCAGGGATATCATGATTATCATCTCATCATCTACATGAAAATCTTTAATCATTGCCATATCATATGGATACAAATGTTGGGTTACAGACCTGGGAAGTGTAGAATTATTCTATCATAGTGGTTCCTTTTTTTGGTGCTTAACTCCACCATTTACTCTATGGTTGATGAACATCTTCTTTCCAATGTGTTTGCAGTTATTTGGTCCTAGTTCATCTATGTTAGAAACTTCAGCAATTTCATTATGATTAAATATTTTTTATTTAGTGATATGAGATATTGCTAGGTGGTAAAAACTTACAATTTTAATGTTGGGCCCACACCTTTGAGCACCATCAAATATTTCATGAAAAGCAATTGTTTTGAAAGGATTTGTTGTAGTAGCGAGGAATTAGTATTATTAACTAGTTGTCTTGAAACCATTTGTCATGTTATGGAGGTGATAAAGCGATTTTACAACCAAAGATGAAGAAATATCTTCAGTTTATTCTCTTATTTTATATTACATTGCGATCATATCTATCGCTTGGAACAATTTGAAACTCCGTAAAGTTCAAGACATGTTCATAACTTGGTAGCTATTCTGCTGAAGTCTTTTTTTTCTGAGAAAAGGCTCAATCATGACACTTTTGTAACTTGCTGATGCACTACTTATGTTATTGAGTGGACTCTATGTATGAGATCAATTTAATGTTTTATTTTAGTCTGAGTTTTTTATATATTTTTTTTAATAGCTTTAGTATTTTACCATATTAGTAAGATTTGGTATCTAAAGTGATCTTTTTACCAATTTTTAAAGCATATTGAAGGGCTTAAATAAAGTAACAGAAAAATGGAGAATAATAAAAACTGAAAACTTGTATTCCCTTGTATTTCCTTTTCCTAACATAGGAAGAAAANTCGTTTCTTCTCGATCGAGAAGAATCTTGTAGATCTGAGACGTGTGGCGCCAGATCGAACCTAGATGGAGGAGGCGCTGGAACTCGCACGTGCCAAGGACACTAAGGAGCGGATGGCCGGAGTGGAACGTCTCTATCAATATCTCGAAGCTTCTAGAAAGAGTCTTAGTAGTGCTGAAGTGACTTCGCTTGTGGATACTTGCTTGGATCTCTTGAAGGATAACAATTTTAAGGTTTCTCAAGGCGCGCTTCAGGCTCTTGCCTCCGCTGCTGTGCTGTCTGGTGAGCATTTCAAACTGCATTTCAACGCTCTAGTGCCTGCTGTCGTTGAGCGATTAGGGGACGGCAAACAACCTGTTCGTGACGCCGCTAGGCGCCTCTTGCTCACTCTTATGGAGGTATTTTCGTAATTACTGCTCACCTTAATGTTAATCTTGTTTTTAGTCTTTAAATGCTGAAGTTAGATATTATTATTTTTCAAATATTATGCCAAAAGATTTTGTATTCACTTACACGACTTTGCCGTTTCTTTTTTTTATTTCAAGATTTTCAAATATATTTGCGGTTAGAGATATGCTAACGACAGCAGCTAGTTCACTCTCTAGATAATTTTTTTTTAGCAATGGCTTCTGTATGATATTGTGATACAATGTGCCCGATGTTTTCATTTCTTGTTTTCCAATCTAGATAAGTATTGGACTCGTGGCAGAGAGTGAAATAGTAATTAAATTCATTTCTCTTTTTGTGTTATAGATATTATCTCATATTCTGGTGTTTGTCTTTCATCAATTTGTGGTTGTTTTATTGAATGTGCAGTTATTAGCGGGTGTACTTTTATATAATCTGAACTTCTATATACTTGTTTAGATTATGAGAAAACTAATACTTCGTTTTGTCCATGAGAGCTGCCTTCTTGTTTCATTATTCTAATGCAATGTTGCAATTCCTTAGTTTGCATTCCAATTTTTCATTTTTTATCCCAAGTGATGTTCTATTGATTCAGGGATATCATGATTATCATCTCATCATCTACATGAAAATCTTTAATCATTGCCATATCATATGGATACAAATGTTGGGTTACAGACCTGGGAAGTGTAGAATTATTCTATCATAGTGGTTCCTTTTTTTGGTGCTTAACTCCACCATTTACTCTATGGTTGATGAACATCTTCTTTCCAATGTGTTTGCAGTTATTTGGTCCTAGTTCATCTATGTTAGAAACTTCAGCAATTTCATTATGATTAAATATTTTTTATTTAGTGATATGAGATATTGCTAGGTGGTAAAAACTTACAATTTTAATGTTGGGCCCACACCTTTGAGCACCATCAAATATTTCATGAAAAGCAATTGTTTTGAAAGGATTTGTTGTAGTAGCGAGGAATTAGTATTATTAACTAGTTGTCTTGAAACCATTTGTCATGTTATGGAGGTGATAAAGCGATTTTACAACCAAAGATGAAGAAATATCTTCAGTTTATTCTCTTATTTTATATTACATTGCGATCATATCTATCGCTTGGAACAATTTGAAACTTCGTAAAGTTCAAGACATGTTCATAACTTGGTAGCTATTCTGCTGAAGTCTTTTTTTTCTGAGAAAAGGCTCAATCATGACACTTTTGTAACTTGCTGATGCACTACTTATGTTATTGAGTGGACTCTATGTATGAGATCAATTTAATGTTTTATTTTAGTCTGAGTTTTTTATATATTTTTTTTAATAGCTTTAGTATTTTACCATATTAGTAAGATTTGGTATCTAAAGTGATCTTTTTACCAATTTTTAAAGCATATTGAAGGGCTTAAATAAAGTAACAGAAAAATGGAGAATAATAAAAACTGAAAACTTGTATTCCCTTGTATTTCCTTTTCCTAACATAGGAAGAAAACTTGTATTGATAAAAAAAAGGTATATGAGAGAATGAACAAACTATCCACAAAAACAAGGACAGGCTGCCTTCAAAGCCCAAAAGGGATTAATCATCTCAAGAACTAGACAAATTGAGAACCGAAAACCTTGACATGTCAAAGATAGCTATTGTTCCATGTGAAACTATTGTGTCCTTATTGGGTACCATTTTTGTACTCTCGCTCCCCATTCTCTCTCTTGTCTCTTTCCTTTCTTGTGGAGTTCTGTTTTATCTTTATTTTGTCATCCTTTCTCTGACTTGACTCTCTGAGAACTTTCTATTGAGAAAAGTGAACAGACAAATGTACAAATATCTTTTTTCAACACTTACATATGCTTAGGTGTATTATCTGACGGTATTTAAACTTTGCGATGTGCCTAATTCGTTCTTCAGTTTACAAAATGTAAATGCATTGGAAATTTTTAGAATACTTTCTGTTTTGGGCTAGTACCTCATAGAATTTTATGTTTGAGCTTTAGGAAAATGACATTATGATTATGGTGATGTATTATATGTTATTGCATTGGAGGAGATCCGTTAAGTGAAAAAGTGGCTTAGAATAATATATTGAGTGTTGCAGGTTTCTTCTCCAACAATTATTGTTGAAAGAGCAGGTTCTTATGCCTGGACACATAAAAGCTGGAGAGTTCGAGAAGAGTTTGCCCGAACTGTCACATCAGCGATTGGCCTTTTTGCATCTACAGAGCTTCCTCTTCAGCGAGCTATTCTTCCTCCAGTATGACTATATCATTTCTAAATTAGAGCACAGATTTGTTGATTTTTAATTACTTTTAGGGAGTTGAACTGACTAAAATCCTCTTCAATTATCAGATTTTGCAGATGTTGAATGATTCAAATCCTGGTGTTAGGGAAGCAGCTATATTGTGCATTGAGGTTAGTGGAAATTGTGCTATGCTGAACTACTTTCTCCATTTAACTTATTTGTAATATGATCATAGCTTATATTATTAGCAGTAAATTGGAACTCAAAACACTTTTATCTCATTTTTGATATTTGAATATCTAAACCTATTATATATATATAAAAAATCCTATTATCTAAAGCAATTCTTATCTTTGTGAATTGTTTTCTTAATGATTTTTCTTTAAAATTTAATAGTAAGTGAGTATAATCTGTTATCTGCTATTTTATTAATACAACAATCATTATTATCTGGTTTTTGGATCAATGCAATAGCTTAGTTAATGTGATCCTTACAGGTAAAATGGTTTACTATTGGGTTGAATTAGTGGTATCTGTTTTAGATAGTGTAATGAATGCTGTAGTACTCATGCTTTGCTTACTAGAAGTTCCAGCGAGTGATATCCTCCTCCCTGGCATAATTACTTTTAGAATTTCTGGTTGACGTCCAGGATTTCTGGTCTGGAATGGCTCTCTAACCATATTAGTTTGGTTGGTTCTTTTTTCAGGAGATGTATACTCAGGCTGGGCCTCAGTTCCGTGATGAACTTCACCGCCATCATCTTCCTACATCTATGGTTAATATCTAATTGAGAATAAGACATTCCAATTTTTGCAATTTTATTTTCCATAATTTCTAGGAGCTGCAAGTTTCTTGCCTAGTTCTGCCTTTTAGTTCGGAGTGCAGATGTATGATATACAGATGTAAACTCTGGACTTTTTAATGTTGCATCGCCTACTGATAGGAAGAAAAAAACATTTAATTATTTTTTCTTTTTAAGAAAAAAAGAAACATGACACGACCTATAACTGCAGATGAAAGACATTAATGCAAGGCTGGAGAAGATTCAACCACAAGTTCGCTCTTCAGATGGACTTACAAGTACCTTTGCTCCGGTTGAGATGAAGCCTGCAAGCTTTAATCCCAAGAAAAGTAGTCCAAAGGCTAAGAGTTCATCTAGGGAGATGTCTCTTTTTGGAGGTTAGCATCGATTTTTAGTCTAGTTTGTGGTTGTTAAATATTGGAAATGCATGCATCAATTAATTCCCTTACAAAATTCCTGGGTTTTCCAAGTATTTTTTGTTCGCAAATTATGTTTCATATGGTCAGATATTGTCAAGTTTTGCATTGCTGTTAAAGCCATGGTTCAACTACTTGAAAATCTTTGCTTCCCTGTGGATTAATAAAATCTTTGAAAGTCTGCTTGGTGATGTTCTATTGCTTATTGTTCCATCCTTTGCAGGAGAAGACATCACGGAAAAACCGTTAGAACCAATCAAAGTATACTCTGAGAAGGAGCTTATTAGGGAATTTGAAAAAGTTTCTTCTACCCTCGTACCTGAAAAGGATTGGTCTATACGCATTGCTGCAATGCAGAGAGTNATCTAGGGAGATGTCTCTTTTCGGAGGTTAGCATCGATTTTTAGTCTAGTTTGTGGTTGTTAAATATTGGAAATGCATGCATCAATTAATTCCCTTACAAAATTCATGGGTTTTCCAAGTATTTTTTGTTTGCAAATTATGTTTCATATGGTCAGATATTGTCAAGTTTTGCATTGCTGTTAAAGCCATGGTTCAACTACTTGAAAATCTTTGCTTCTCTGTGGATTAATAAAATCTTTGAAAGTCTGCTTGGTGATGTTCTATTGCTTATTGTTCCATCCTTTGCAGGAGAAGACATCACGGAAAAACCGTTAGAACCAATCAAAGTATACTCTGAGAAGGAGCTTATTAGGGAATTTGAAAAAGTTTCTTCTACCCTCGTACCTGAAAAGGATTGGTCTATACGCATTGCTGCAATGCAGAGAGTTGAAGCCCTTGTTTTGGGAGGTTTGTATCCCCGTCTCGCTCATTCTCCCTGTGTTTTAAAGTATTATTTGCTGTTGAAGTAATCATTGCTAAATTAATCTGTGAAATGTTTTAAAATGTACTTGTTTTATTTCCTGTAACCATCTTACAAGGAGTTTCGTGGCTTAAAACATACAGTATTTGCAACTTTTTTTGTGCAATAAATGTTGATATATCTGCTCTGAATAATCTTATCAGGTGCTACTGACTACGCATGTTTTCGGGGACTATTAAAACAAATGGTTGGCCCTTTAAGCACACAATTGTCTGATCGAAGGTCTAGCATTGTAAAGCAGGTGTGTTTATGTTTTCTTCTGTCTACAAGTTTTGGTTGACATGGCCCATATGTGCCTCCTTTCCCCTGTAGGATATTATGATTGCTTGTTTGATCTGTCTCTTTTGATTCTTAGTAGTGCCGAAACCTTTTTTTTTTTTCAGCTCCTGTTAAGCTGTTGTGGCTGTAGGTGTAACTCTGCTTAATTGTGTTTTCTTTTTTCTAGGCTTGCCATCTTTTATGCTTTTTGTCAAAGGAGCTCTTGGGGGACTTTGAAGCGTGTGCTGAAATGTTCATTCCAGTCAGTTCTAATTTCTTCCTTGCTGTCTATTGCAATTTTAGTCTGCTGAAAACATCCTAATTTTTATGGTATGATAATCAGGTCCTTTTCAAGTTGGTTGTGATTACTGTACTTGTAATTGCAGAGTCTGCAGATAACTGCATAAAGACGGTAATTTTTTTTCTTAAGTACTCGGACAGTTTGTCCCTTTTATACAAGTCTTTAGAATTTTCCTGTTTGAAATGTTTTGAAACTCTCTCTCTTCCAGATGTTACGTAATTGCAAAGTTGCTCGTGTGCTTCCTCGCATAGCTGATTGTGCAAAGAATGATCGTAATGCAGTGCTCCGTGCAAGGTATGACCACTCTTCTTTGAATTGATGATGCAGTTTTATGCTGTTGTTCAAATCATCTTTCTTTTGGATTGCAGGTGTTGTGAATATGCCCTGTTGATATTAGAAAATTGGCCTGATGCTCCAGAAATACAGCGATCTGCTGATCTATACGAAGATTTTATTAGGTGTTGTGTTGGTGATGCAATGAGTGAGGTATTTTGGTTGGAAATTTCATTTTCCTTTTTTTTTTTTCCAAAATGTTTGGAGACCTGCATCTGGTCTCTGTGTGCTTTCTTATACTGTCTATTTAATTGACTAAAATACTTCATATCATGTTCTTTTTCCTTTTTCTCTACGTTGCCAGCAATATCGGTTGAAGCCTCGTTATTTGCTTTGTTAGCAATTTTATTCTTGAATCTTAACAGGTACGATCAATTGCAAGAATGTGCTACAGACTTTTTGCAAAGACTTGGCCAGAGCGATCCCGTCGCTTATTTTCATCCTTTGATCCGGTCATTCAAAGGGTATATAGTTTGTCCTTTTCCAAAGAATGTTTTTACATACTACCATTGGTAAGGCCATAGTTTAAAGGGATTATGGTTTTGACAGATAATAAATGAAGAGGATGGTGGGATGCATAGGCGACATGCTTCTCCTTCTCTTCGTGATAGAGGTGGACAAATGTCATTTACCCCTCATGTATCAGCTTCTTCCAACCTTCCTGGATACGGAACTTCTGCCATAGTTGCAATGGACAGAAGTTCAAGTTTATCTTCTGGGACCTCTCTCTCGTCTGGACTTCTTTTGTCACAAACGAAGTCCCTAAATAAAGGTTCTGAACGTAGTCTGGAAAGTGTTCTGCATGCAAGCAAACAAAAAGTCACCGCAATTGAAAGCATGCTCAGAGGTTTGGAAATATCTGAGAAACAAAATCCTTCAGCTCTTCGATCATCTAGTTTGGATCTAGGTATTAAATGTTTTTACCAATTTATGTTTTACTTAGTAGATGAAACCAGCTTTTAGTAATGTTAAGTCATTCCATGATGCAATGGTGACTGATTGCCTGAATGATTAATGAGTTAAAGTGTAAATCATTTATGAGCGGCTAAATATTTTTTTCTTATTGCCCCCTAGTGCAGGAGTTGACCCTCCATCATCTCGTGATCCACCCTTCCCTGCTTCTGTTCCAGCTTCTAATGATCACACAAACACTTCATTGGAATCAACAGCCTCTGGAATCAATAAAAGCAGTAACCGCAATGGTGGCATGATATTGTCTGATATCATTACTCAAATTCAAGCTTCCAAAGATTCTGGTAAATTATCACATCGCGGAAATTTGGCAAATGAGTCTTTGTCATCACTTTCATCTTACTCAGCTAGAAGGGCTTCTGAAAGGCTACAAGAAAGAGGTATTGAAGAGAATAATGACATTAGGGAGGCTAGGCGCTTTGCGAACTCACACGCTGACAGGCAGTATTTGGATTCTCCTCATAAAGATGGAAACTTTAGGGATTCCCAACACAATTATGTTCCCAATTTCCAGAGACCACTTTTGAGAAAGCATGTATCTGGGCGGATGTCTGCTGGAAGGAGAAGGAGTTTTGATGAGAGCCAGCTGTCACTTGGGGAAATGTCAAATTACACCGATGGTCCAGCCTCTCTCAATGATGCTCTTAGTGAAGGACTGAGTTCAAGTTCTGACTGGTCTGCTAGGGTTGCTGCTTTTAATTATCTGCGGTCGTTGCTGCAACAAGGCCCAAAAGGTGTTCAAGATGTAATTCAAAGTTTTGAGAAAGTAATGAAGTTGTTCTTCCAGCACCTGGATGATCCCCACCATAAAGTTGCACAGGCAGCTCTTTCAACACTAGCAGATATTATTCCTTCTTGCCGGAAGCCCTTTGAGAGTTACATGGAAAGGATCTTGCCCCATGTTTTCTCACGGCTGATTGATCCAAAGGAGTTAGTTAGGCAACCTTGTTCTACAACCTTGGACATTGTAAGCAAAACTTATAGTGTAGATTCTCTCTTGCCCGCATTGCTCCGTTCACTGGATGAGCAGCGGTCACCAAAGGCCAAGTTGGCTGTTATTGAGTATGCTATAAGTTCCTTTAACAAGCATGCAACAAACTCTGAAGGCGCTGGTAATATTGGCATCCTAAAGTTATGGCTTGCTAAGTTGACACCATTGGTCCATGACAAAAATACTAAGCTTAAGGAAGCAGCTATTACATGCATTATATCTGTTTACTCCCATTATGATTCGATCGCTGTGCTTAATTTCATTCTTAGTTTATCAGTTGAAGAACAAAATTCCTTGAGACGGGCCCTGAAACAGTACACACCTCGTATTGAGGTGGATCTAATGAACTATTTGCAGAGCAAGAAAGAGCGGCAGCGTCTCAAGTCCTCTTATGACCCATCTGATGTTGTTGGAACCTCTTCAGAAGAAGGATACGTTATTGCATCCAAAAAGAGTCATTACTATGGAAGGTATTCTTCTGGTTCTGTTGACAGTGATGGTGGCAGGAAATGGAGTTCCGTTCAAGACTCAACCCTTATCACAGGCAGTATGGGTCATGCAACTTCTGATGAACCCAAGGAGAACTTGTATCAGAACCTTGAGACTGGTTCTAATGCTGATTTTAATTCAAAAGCTAAGGATCTGACAAGTTCAAACACGTACCTGGAGGGTTTGTCTTCACCACGTGTGGACATTAATGGTTTGATGAGCTCTGACCCCTTAGGGGTCTCTGAAGGTGTTGGACATAAGAATGAAATTTCATCTGAAATGGACCTTAATTTTCATAAACCAGCGGCCATAAAGATCAACTCTATTGTGGATGCTGGACCTAGCATTCCCCAAATTCTTCACCTGGTGAGCTTTGTGTCAGCATATCTTTCTCCATAATAGTTTACTTGTCAGAGTAATTGTAGTTTTGACATATAATAAAAATCTTCTCATTTGATGGGGGCTTTCTTTTGTATTGTTTTTAGATTTGTAACGGGAACGATGGAAGCCCTACTACAAGTAAGCATGGTGCACTTCAGCAACTAATTGAAGCTTCTATGGCTAGTGATCAATCAATTTGGAACAAGGCATGATAAGTTTCTGCCATATACTTTCTCTTACTCTGTGTTTGCAGTATTTCAATTTACATTTATTAAATATTGATGTCCATTTTTCAAATATTTGCAGTACTTTAATCAGATTTTGACAGCTGTACTTGAGGTGTTGGATGATGCTGATTCTACAATTAGGGAGGTTGCTCTTTCATTGATAAATGAAATGCTCAAGAATCAGGTCTGTTACATGGCTCATTACGTTTATTTCCTTTTTGTCTAATGAGTTTGTAACTTATGTGTTCCCACTCTTTCATCCTTACAGAAAGATGCCATGGAAGATTCTGTCGAGTTAGTCATTGAGAAGCTGCTTCATGTTACAAAAGATGTTGTTCCCAAAGTAATTATATTCAACAGGTTCTTTGACCATATTCTTTACATGTAGTTGGTGTCTAAATGTTTTCATCCATATGCAGGTTTCAAGTGAAGCCGAGCACTGCTTGACAATTTTGTTATCTCAGTATGATCCATTCAGATGTTTGAGTGTATGTGTTTCTGAATTCCCTCTCTCTTTCTCTCAGTCACTCACATGCCTCATAAATGGCTGTAATTAGCTTTATTGTCTCTTCTCAATGAAATAATACCATGGAAAAAGAATATTTCTTTTGGCTCTGTTTCGATGTAGTTTGCTTGATAATAATGAATGTTGCTGTTAATGTTTTATATTACAGGTTATTGTCCCGTTGTTGGTCACTGAAGATGAGAAAACTCTTGTTATTTGCATAAACTGTTTAACAAAGGTACTATTCCGACTATTATATTTTTTTCATGCCATGTTCCAAAAATACACTATGTTTCTTTTGGGCAACAATACTTCTTGTAGGGTTGTTGGTCTATGTGTTTTATTAGTTAAATTTTTGAAATAGATGAAGAATAATTTATTTTCATACAAAAATTTGTCAAACTTGTAACTTTTTGGTTTTTACTGTCAATAACTATTGTGCTAATCTGCTTTTCAAAATTTTCAGCTTGTGGGTCGGCTCTCACAGGAGGAACTGATGGCTCAGTTGCCATCGTTTTTACCTGCTCTTTTTGAAGCTTTTGGAAACCAGAGCGCAGATGTTCGCAAGGTATTTATTTCTTTTGTATATAGTTGTAATTATTTTTTCATGTCTGCAATTTTGTTATCTATCAGCTGAAGTAAATGCTCGCTAGAACTATAATACTATTATGAGAAATCTCTGCCATATGTACCCAACCTGCTTTTGTTTTTGGCATTCTATTTTGCCTTTTATTTTATTTATTTATTTAATTTTGGCTAATTTGATAACTTTTTTTATTTATTATTTATTTATTTGGTGGTATGTTGGATGGTACAGACTGTTGTTTTCTGTTTAGTGGATATTTATATCATGCTGGGTAAAGCATTCTTGCCATACTTGGAGGGACTTAACAGTACACAACTGCGGTTGGTGACCATTTATGCTAATAGGATCTCACAGGCTCGGACGGGTACCACCAATAATGCAAACCAATGATTAGGTGTTTCTTTTGGGATGAAATTGTGGGTCTGGGTTGTTGCTTATTCATTGTTGTGTATTTGTATATTGTGTGAATGTATTTTGAGGGTTTTTTCTTGTAGTTCTATTTTATGGTTTAGATATATATTACTTTTGTCCCATGTTTGAGTTTGTGTTGTTTTGAGGGAGAGTGATTTTGGGGAAGGAAACAAATTTCGGTAACTATTATGCCCGTGTTGTAATGAACGATTGAACAGTATCTGTTATATTACTATATTCAAGAAAGAAAATTGGTTTTGGAGAAAATCCTACTCTCTTAGTCTCTTTTGCAAAATTTTACCAACAAATAACCGCAAAAATCCATCAATTGATTTTTAGCATTTTGTCTGGTAATCAGAAATCCATTTTATATAACTCTGGAGAATAGACATAGCAAGCAGGATCTTAACTCATGAATCATGATAGATAACATGCTGGACAAGACTACCAAAAAATCTTAAAATAATTAAAATATGATCTCTATTTTCAATATTTTTACAAGGATCTAGTATCCAAATACAGGGGGAAGATTATTCTGTTTTCATTCAGGGGAAATTATCTCAACCCTAGAATATATTCGATCTCTATTATTTTCTTATCTTTTAAATTCTTTATTTCTAGAGTATTAGTTTGTAATTACAACTAAATTAAACATTTATAGGTGCGTTTGGTTTAGGGAATGTTATACTACTGAAAATATTATATTAACAGAAAGATAAATTAAGATTATTAGAAATGTTTAGAGAAATGTGTATGACTAGGTTGTAATAAATTGGTGGGTATGTTATCTAAATTACCATCTTTTTTAAATATTAATATATTATTACTTTTTGAATAATTTTTTTAACTCTCTACATTTGATATTTTTCTAAAACACCCCAACCACATAGAAGTTTAATTTCTAATAAAATCACCTCAAACCACAACCAGCCACCACCACCATTGCGGGGGCAACAGTGGCCAGAACGATGCACGATTAACCAGATCTAACTGTTTCTAGTCGGATCCGTGGATGGATGTGGTCGAAAATGGCTATAGAACTGGCTGTTGATGGCCAGACCTATGGTCGTTGTCAACGAACAACAACCAAAGATCTGGCTGTCATTAACGGCCAGATAGGTGCATGTCTGGCCAGATCTGACCGGTTGTGTGCTGTTCTGACACCTGCGGCCAACGATGGTGGCCAAATCCGACCACTAGTCTTAAGTAATTTTTTTCAAGTTCAAGGGTATTTATGTCCTAAAATGTTTGTATATAATGATAAAATAGTTTATGAATATTTTTGTAAATTGTTTTTAAAATAAGGGCATTATTGTCTAAAAATTTTAATAATCAATGGTAGAAATTGTAACAAAAATAAGATTACTAAGTAATCTTAAAATACTTAATAAAATAGTGATATTCAGATTATCTTCTATATAACCAACAGTAATTATTATTGGTTTAAAGATTACAACTAAATGTGATAATATAAGTAACATAAAAGTAAGAGGGGATAATCTAAACCCTATGTGTTATTAGCCGTTTATTTCTCTCTTTGAGAGGTTACAAGGGATGATAGTATTCTCCCCCTATATGTTATTAGCTGTTTATTTCTCTCTTTGAGAGCTTACAAGGGATGATAGTATTCTTCTATCAGTCAAATCTTTATTATAGCCAAGACTAAGCAGACGTGAAATTACGTATAAAACAAGCATATAATTACAGTAGGCACTTTAGTCGTATTAAAATACAACCTCATTAATGGGGTTGCTGGTCTTAATAAAACCTTGCATTATTTACTTTGTTGAATATGTCTTGGATTCCCCCATAAATAGACTGCAAATGCTTGATGAATAAGTTTACAGCCACTCACCCTCCTCTAGTTACTGTGGATTACGCAGTAGATTTGCCAGTTAAGAAGCTGATACACTTCTTTCTAATTAAAGTAAAAATAACAGATATTTTCTTTTTTTATAAAGAAAGTTTGAAAGGTTTTTTTCATTTTTCATTTAAATACCATTGTAAACTCTGATTTTAAAGTTATAGTTACTAGGGTAGCCGGAAAGATGGAAAAAAGAGAACTAAAGCAGGTGAGAAATATAAATCAATCATAAAATTGTTTACCATAATTTGCAAAAAGTTTGAAGATGCTCTGAAGATTTCTTTAGTGTTGTTATCCACATATATGGAAAAAAATCACGTTGATAGATTTTGTGGATTTTGAACAAAATCCAACTGGTACACTCGATATCTCAGAGCATCCACAGTTTCCATTTTTCTCTCACTGCAAACCTTTTTTAACCAGAAATACTACTCTCAGCATGTCATCATCATTCGCTTTTCTAGCAATTTGAAGTGACTTTTTTTTTTTGTTTTTCTCTCTATCAGAGAGGTAAGTGGTGATTCCGTTGACAGCAGCAACCCTTCTTATTTTCTCTTCTTCTTAATTGTTTTTCTCATCATTCGTAAGGTTTTCCATGCACCATGAAATTAACTGATGAACTTTGTATATGTGTTGTGTTAGGGAATATTAAAGAAGCTGATGTCTCGTTTCATGAGAGGTGGTGAAGACAAAGCAGTAAATAAAGATGGGAGAAGCAAGATAAGAGCTTTGGTTGTAGATGATAGCATGGTGAACCGAACCATTCATCACAAACTATTGCAGAATCTTGGCATTGAAAATCAAGTAGTTGGTAATGGCAAAGAAGCTGTTGATGCCCACTCTTCTGGCAATTATTTTGACCTCATTTTGATGGATATGGACATGCCTGTCATGAATGGAATTGAGGCAACAAGGAGGCTTCGCGCAATGGGCGTTCGTAGCTTGATTGCAGGCGTCACAACGCGGTCTCTAGAGCAAGAAAAGCAAGAGTTCATGGAAGCTGGTTTAGATGATTATCAAGAGAAGCCATTGACAGCAGCTAAGCTTGTTTCTATAATACATAAGATCAACCAATCCAGTTCAACTCCTCGATAGTTAATCTCCCATGTAAACTCTCTATGGTTTCTTCATGGATCTGTTGTTGTATGATCAGTCAAGATAAGCCGTGTATCTCATCATCCAATTTTATAGTCGAGCCTGTTTTTCCGGCGTTGATTTCTTTGTCTTCAATTAATAATATAGCCAAATTGTAACGAGGTGAAACTTATTTTTCTATAAATCAAATGATACAATAAGAGTTCTGATTCTTCTGAACAAAACCCATTTACAAGGATTTAGCCGTATCTTCAATTATTTGAACCGAGACATATAAGTTTACTTGCGCAAACAATTTGAATGATCAAATCTTAAAGTTAAAAGATAGGGTAGAGTATTTTCTAAGCAAGAATTTAGGATGTCAAAATTTACACCAATTATGGAAAGGTGGAATGAATATTATTTGTATATTCATCCAATAATATGATGACACATATACCTTTTTAATTATCATTATTATTTTAATTAACTACAATTATTATTATTTATTCTTGGTTTTAAAAATAATTACTTAAAATAAAAATTATATACAAATGTAATAAATGGGAATGGGGCTGTTTAGCAATCAAGAGAAACCTTTAGTACTGAGTCACTCCTAGGCCCAAGTAAGATACGAAATAGATATTCCTCATAGTCCGCGGCCCACACAAAAACCCTAAACCCCAAGACACGCGCTCTGTCTCTCCCTCCCTCTCCCACTTAGCTTTCTTTCTCAAAACTTCTCTGCAGAGCGTAGACGGTAGAACCTCACAACCATGTATCGTTTTGCCTCTAGTCTTGCATCCAAAGCCAGGTTTTTTATGTTTTCCTTATTTTATCATTATTGAATTTCCAACAATGATTTTTTATTTTATTTGTTTTCAATTGTGTGTGTGTGTGTGTTTTTTTTTCTCATCTTATTTTTGTGTTGTTTATTGTATTGTAGGTTGGCGAAGAATAGTACACAGCTGGTGAGATTGCATTATAATCCATGTTGCTTTTCTTGTTGTGTTGGTTATTAAGTGCGTTATTTGATGTGAATTTTATTTATTTATTTGTTCAGGTTGGTAATAGATTGAGTTGGAGCAGAAACTATGCGGCCAAGGACATTAAATTTGGTGTTGAAGCTCGTGCTTTAATGCTTAAGGGCGTTGAAGAACTCGCTGATGCTGTCAGAGTTACCATGGGGCCTAAAGTGAGTGATTCTATCACTCTTCATTCGTAACAATTTATACTTGTTTTTGGTGTTGTGATGGACAGTTGGCAATCTTGAGACAGTCAGAGTTTGGTTTTTATCTTTTTAAAATTTTTGGTACTTGTGGATTTTTTAATTTTTTTTAATATCTGGCTTTTTTTTTTAATATTTATGTAATATTATTGGCAATCATTCTGTAGGGTCGTAATGTTGTTTTGGAACAAAGTTTTGGGGCTCCGAAGGTGACAAAAGATGGTGTTACAGTAGCAAAGAGCATTGAATTCCAAGATAGGGTCAAGAACATCGGTGCTAGCCTTGTAAAGCAGGTTGCAAATGCTACAAATGATGTGGCTGGTGATGGTGAGTGGTGCATTCTTATCAGTAAACACTTGATTTATTTTTGTTGACCACAAGGCTGTCTTGTTTGCAACATTCTTGTTTTGTTTGAGTGCAAAGGTAGTTGTCTCTGTATGGAGGAATAGTTCCTAGTTATAAAACGGTTTTCAATGTGCTCAAGTATTTTCATAAACTCTTCTGCAATGGGCCTGGTTACTCATGACGTTTCAATGTGTTTGCTTGCAGGAACTACATGTGCAACTGTCCTAACCCGAGCTATATTTACTGAAGGATGCAAGTCAGTGGCTGCAGGTATGAATGCAATGGACCTGAGACGAGGGATTACAATGGCAGTTGATGCTGTTGTGACAAATTTAAAGGGCAGAACACGTATGATCAGCACATCTGAAGAAATTGCCCAGGTTTGCTTTCTGACTTTTGCTTAGCTTGGAAATGGGGAGGATTATATGGGACTTTGGAGAAGCAATTTCATTGAACATGTTAGTGAGGTATGATATTTGTCTATAAAGGTTGGAACAATATCAGCAAATGGAGACAGAGAAATCGGAGAGCTCATAGCCAAGGCTATGGAGAAAGTTGGAAAAGAAGGTGTTATTACCATTTCTGTAAGTTGTTAATTCATCCATTTTTGTTACTCTAGGGTTTTAGATTGAATTTTGTGTAGTGCAGTTTGTATTTTATTGTCCTAAGTTCCCTTTCCTCTTTTCTTTTTCCTGCACTTCACCAGTGTTGTTGTTTACTATCTCTATAGTTAGTGGATGTGTATATTGGCTGCTTTGCAGTTTTTTCATGTATTCTTTCAATTGCATTGTACCTTTGATCTCCGTTTCTTACCTTAAAGTGAAGTTCATGTCAGTTTCTCTTCCTTCAAGTTATTTTCTTTCTATAGAGTTAAACATTTACCTGTCAATTATATTTTTGACTCTCAATTATCTGGCAAATGATTTTTTTTTCTCCCTCAAAATTTTTACAGGATGGGAAAACACTGTATAATGAATTAGAGGTTGTTGAGGGAATGAAGCTAGACAGGGGCTATATATCACCTTACTTCATCACCAATCAGAAGAACCAAAAATGTGTAAGCAGTTGATATATCCATGAATTAATTGGTACATTGGTTGTAAATTAGATTAAATGGGATGGTATGGATTTCTCCTGAATATTATGTTGCTTCATCCTTAGTGTTAACAAATTGCTGGTGTCATTTTTTTCAGGAATTAGAAAATCCGCTCATTCTAATCCATGAGAAGAAAATTTCGAACTTAAATGCTATTGTGAAAGTACTGGAGTTGGCTTTAAGGGTAAGTAAATTCAAAAACAGAAAATGGAATTGTGAGTTTATTTATAATAAATTTACCAAGTTGTTTTGTTTTCTCAGAGTCAAAGGCCTTTATTGATTGTTGCTGAAGATGTTGAAAGTGAAGCCTTAGCAACTCTTATCATAAACAAGCTTCGTGCTGGAATCAAGGTAATCTTATACATGTCCATATTAGTTTTGTTTTTGCAAGGTTCTGTTTCTATGTTGTTTAATTGTGGTGGCTTTATGAAATCGGTTGAAGGTTTGTGCCATCAAAGCCCCTGGATTTGGAGAAAATAGGAAGGCCAGCATGCAAGACCTTGCTGTTCTCACAGGAGGCCAGGTAGGTTCATTTGGTAAAATCTCTTCACCCGGCTTTCCATTATGAGATGATTCACAAATCAATATGTTCCTATCTTTTTCAATTTTAGGTTATAACTGAAGAGCTTGGGATGAACCTTGAAAAGGTGGTGCCAGAAATGTTTGGTTCATGCAAAAAGGTTAGATATATCAATAATATGATGCATATTTTCACAATTTTTGGCATTAAAATCCAGTCTTTGCTGTAGAGTACATTAAGAGCAAGTTTTGTTCGAAATATATCTTAGTCCTCTTGATCATTGTAGGTTACAGTATCAAAGGATGACACTGTTGTTCTTGATGGGTCTGGTGACAAGAAAGCCATTGAAGAAAGATGTGAAGAGGTTTGTGTTTTGGCTGTTTTACTTGTTTCTTCAATAATTTCTTAGGCTTTCTGAGCTTATTTATTACTTGATTTGTGCCTTGTGATCACTATTGCAGTTGAGAGCCACAATTGAATTGAGCACTTCAGACTATGACAAGGAGAAGTTACAAGAGCGCCTTGCTAAGCTTTCTGGTGGTGTTGCAGTTTTAAAGGTTTGGTTATCTGAATTACATATTGATTCCTGCAAGCATTTGTTCTAACTTTTTTACTATATGGTGCCTGCCCTCTTATTAGAACACAAACTGATAGAAGTCTCTAATATTGTTAGGTTGGCGGAGCTAGTGAAACAGAAGTGGGTGAAAAGAAGGATAGAGTTACTGATGCCCTAAATGCTACTAAGGCTGCAGTGGAGGAAGGGATTGTACCTGGTAAGCCTTTTCTTTTAGAGTTTTTATTAGCCCATCTTGTTGTACATGTGTATCACATTTTTCATATTCCTATGTATTTGTAGGTGGTGGTGTTGCACTTCTCTATGCCTCAAAGGAGCTGGACAAATTGCAAACTGCAAATTTTGATCAGAAGATTGGTGTTCAGATTATCCAGAACGCTCTCAAGGTTTTATGCTTCTTCTAATTGTTTCTTTCTCAAGCTGTGAGCTAAGATTTATTTGATGTCCTAAGCTTGAGCCTGAGCTCTGTTAAAACGTGAAAATTTTACAAAGACTCATTTAACAAAGCCACAAGAAGTCCTCAATCATTTTTGGGGGAAAATTACACAACTTTAGTCATATTTGTCAAAAGTGGAAAACCTTGGTATATTATATTGAAAGTCAAAATCATGCTACGTCCAACTTAGTCGCAGACCCAGGTTATGAGACATGATTCATGAGAAGCAGTCAGTTGGTAGGAGGTTGCTTCTGGAGCTTACTTTACAATACACTTGTAATCTTACTGATTGAGTCTCTACCTCAGATGCCCGTGTACACAATTGCTTCAAATGCTGGAGTTGAGGGGTCAGTGGTTGTTGGCAAGCTATTGGAACAGGAAAATCCTGACCTTGGATATGATGCAGCTAAAGGTTCCTTTTTCCTTTTTCCTAACAAAGAAAAAAAAAAATCTTTGATTTCCAGTATTCAGTTTAGTAGATTGAGTTAGATGAAAACTCTCTGTGTTTAATCTGTACCAGGTGAATATGTAGATATGATTAAGTCAGGGATTATTGATCCATTGAAAGTCATAAGAACAGCCTTGGTGGATGCCGCAAGGTAACTTGTTGAACCTCTCAACTTCTCATTTTTGCTTAATCCAGCAACTTGTAATTATTGGATGTTGTGTAGTGTATCCTCATTGATGACTACAACTGAGGCAATCGTCGTTGAGCTACCAAAGGATGAGAAGGAAGCTCCAGCAATGGGAGGAGGCGGAGGCATGGGCGGCATGGGAGGCATGTACTAAGTTTTCCATTGGGGGCGATCATGGTACTGTATTTGAAAAAAAAAATATCTTTTATCATTTTTTACTTATCAACTATTAAAACATGAGCAGAATATTAGGTTAGAGAAGGGCACATTCTTCCTCTTAAGTTATTTATCTCTCCCCTCCATAAATGAGTTATCCATTTTTTTTTCTCTCTATAGTCTCAATCAGTCTCTATCTTTGAAGTTATTTGTGGGGCCTACATGGCTTTATCGTAGCTATAGCCAATGCTTGGTAAGGTTGATCATCAATAGGATATAAATTTTTAAGATTTAAACACGTTATTGACTTGTCAGTCTGTAAAAAGGTTCAAGTTGGTGCTTCTGTCCCTAATCGGATGTCCTAATAGTATGACACCAGGGCCCTTGAAATGATGAGTAGTTATTGTTTGAAGGCATAGTTATTGTTTGAAGGCAATTATTTGATAGTCAAATTTAGAGGCCTTGGATTGATGTAATAATTTGAGTACAATTTTCAATATTTTTGGTAACATGTCATTCTCAAATCTCAATTCAATAAGTAGCATCGGTTTTAGAAGTAGATTACGATGTAGTGTCTTTATATTTCCGAGTATTTTGTATTAAATTGCTTGATAATGTGTCAATCATGCGGGGATGTTGTATATTCATGCTTCTGCTAAAAGGTTATTACTATACTATACAACCCACACAAATGGACTTTATTTTCATCATTTAATAAAAGGAAAATATGGAGTTTGAATTTTGAAATAATTTTAGGGGTTGGACGTGGGGGATGAAGGGCATTTCCCACTCGGGAGCCACTTAACAAAGGAGTAGTGGGTGAGGGTGAGATGGAAGATAAGTGCGTCCGTTCCGCATGGAACACCAGCTGTCGGTTAACAGGCCAACATGGCACGCTTTCCACTTGACACGTCGGCACACCTTACGATGCATTCTTTAATGACTCCTGTTATTATACTTATTCATAATTGATTGTTTTTATTTAATCATCCCAACTCAAGTGTGAAACTGAAACAAATCCTTGTTTTGACCAATTGCTTCATTTTATAGTTGAATTTGTATGAGTATGTTTTGTCTTCATTTAAATGTGTTGTATGAAGGTTACAGATACTGATCAAATAACTATTACAGTAAAATATTAATGATTGTTTGATGTAATTCAAACTTTGTAATTATTGTTTTGTATGATTTTCTTCTCAACGTATCTTTACAGAATCACATAATTTAACCTAATTTTATCATTGAATATTTGATTAAAAGTATCATAACCTTCACATCTGACTTTTAATTAGTTGGTGTGTTTACCCATATAATACAAAAAAATATATCTATATTTAATGGACTCACTATAGTCTTAACTCTTCCTACAAATATACAATATCAAACCTGTATTATATATATATATATATAGTCTTAGGACTAATTAATTCAAACAAATTTGCTGTATAATTAGTATGATGTAAATAGATAAATATAAATTAAATAATTGATAAGGATTAAATATTATCAATTATTTATCGGGAGAACGACTTTTCCCACCCAAGGTTTGGCGAAACAACACTTTCCCACCCATCAAGTTTCAAAATGACACTTTCCCACCCTTCGTCAGATTCTGTTAGTGATTTCTGAAATTATTTTTCTAAAAGACAGAAATACCTTTAAATAGTTTATTATAAATAAAAATTTAGTTAAGTGAAAGTCTTTACTCAAGTGTAAAGATACATTTTTTCCTTTGTCTATTTAATTAATTAGGAATATTAACTATTAAGATTTTCTATGTTAATTAGTCAAAATGAAAAACATTATATTAGTAGATTATTGAATAATAGTGATGAGATATTTATGACATTATAACTAAATAAATATTAAGGTTATTTAACTTTAAACAATTTCATAGTATTACTCTTAACTTTTTAGTTAGGGCTAACTATTTTTTTTTTTTTTTTTGACTTTTTAATATCTTACTTTTTGGCTAATTCAAAAATTAAAAAAAAAAATTATAAAGTCAAATATTTAATGGTATTTTCGTCTTTTCAATCAAATATTAACAGAAAACATAACAGATTTTGACGAAGAGTGGAAAATTGTCATTTTGAAACTTGATGGGTGAGAAAGTGTCATATTGCTGAACCTTGGGTGGGAAAATGTCGTTCTCCCATTATTTATCATAGAAGTCCATCATTGTCTTTTTCACTATTAACATGAAAGAGAGAGAGAGAGAGTTGTTACACCAAGGTAGGAGAAATGGTTATCTAACTATATATTAATTTTAATGTTGAATAAATAAAAAAATAGTAATTAAAATTATTATTTGACAATGTTAAAGGTACAGTTGGGTAGCCGAAATGGGAGATTCAAGTGTCCACATTTTTAACAAAAGAAGAAATTTACAAGTCAGGAGTTGAAATAAAAAGTCATAAATAAGCAGAAGCAGTGCCTCAATCTCAAGGTCAAGGAACAAATTACAATCCATGTAGACAAGAAGAGAATAAATATGTTTCTCAGGCTCATCGAACTGCCTTGTCTTGTCCCACCAAATACTAAATGACATATGGACCCATCCTCATCTCTACATTTCTTTTTAATCCACGCGCCACCAAACCAGTAATTTCAAATTTACTCAAAAATAGACTTGGGAATGCATCTCAGACTCATCTCACATGGACGCAGCCACAAAAAAGAAGAAGCCTCTTGAGGTAGTTGGTAGTTTAGTTGGCGCGTGAGTTGGCTAATCTCCTTTAGAAATTATTAGTAAAGTAGACGGTTTACCGTTAATTGTCATTTTCTATTAATTAAAAGCAATCCACTCGCGTGCAATCAATTAAATAATTGTATAAGCAGATTGTAATCATTATTTTAAACAAAGTTATTAGAGTTTATTACTATTCTTATCCATAAGGCTACCTTTTTTAATTTAATCACCATAATCATGTGCCAAAAAGTGTATTAAGAAGCACCATTATTTACTAATATGTACTGTATTTCTAAATATAATATATATTATTTATTTTCCAAATCTATTGTACACCTAACGCATTAATTTACAAGAAATTAGGAAGTATCTTTTTAAAAGAAAAACAAAAAATAATATGAAGAAGAAGAGGCCCACAAAAAGCAGTACCTTCCATTTGTAATTGTAAGTACGAAATGAACTCAAGTATCAACGGTAATGCGGACTAATTAGATTAGTAATAGTATATGTATAACTAGTTAAGAAAGGAAAAAGAGAAGAATGGGATGAAGAAGATGAGTTGGGGTACAATAACGATTAACAAAGCGTCAAAATCAAATTCGTCTTTTAGCTTCATATTATTCCCACAGAGAGAGAAAAGCAGGAGGACCAGGACCTTATCTTTGGGCAATTGGGCTTGCCTGCCTGCCTGCCTCATAATAACACAAAAGCCAACACAACACTAACATCCAACATAAAATCTGCTGAGATTATTTCTCCATTTCTCTTCTTCTTCTTCATCTTCTTCCCTTTCTTTCTCAGTAATATTAACTGTTTGTCTAGAGTTTCACTTACTTGTCGATTTACTTTTATTTCTATGTTGCGGTAAGTTTTCAATGATTCTTTGATTCATTGAGAGTTCAATTTTGAATTCTGATCTAATTATATACGATTTTTTTTTCTTTTTATTAATCAGATGATGTATCACTGTGTTCCGGATTTTGACATGGACGAGGATTGCTCGATCCCTACATCTTCAGTTCTAACACGCCCTAAAAAATCAGCTATGTAAGTAGTTAATTATCTCTACTTTTCAAGCTTCGTCTCGCTTCCAGAATCGTGTTTCCTGGTTTTAGTTTTTTTGGTTGATGAATCAATTAATGAACAACAAACGACAGGCCTGATCAGGACGATGTTATGGAGTTGCTGTGGCAAAACGGGCAAGTCGTTTTGCAAAGTCAGACACAGAGAACTCATAAGAGATCAACACCGGCTAAATTCGATGACGCCGTCATTCCAGCTCACCAATCAGGTTCCAGAGAGATCCCCTCACACCAGCACCAGCACCAGCACCAACACCAAGACCGCCTCTTCATGCAAGAAGACGAAATGACTTCTTGGCTTCACTATCCTCTAAACGACACCAATTTCGACTCCGATTTTTGCGCCGATCTTCTCTATCCAGTTCCTTGCGTTACTACTAACACCACCGCCACTCCTCCCGTTCGTACAAATCGCGTATCCGATTCACGCCCACCGAAGACTACAACTGCTACGGCTTCAAGGCCTCCGATTCCTCCACCGAGAATGACGGAGAGTTTCGTGCAGTTCTCGAGACCAAGGCCAGTGACTGAAACGTCAGGTCCGTCAAATTCAAAAAGTCTGATGGTGAGAGAATCGACGGTTGTGGACTCAAGTGATACACCAGCTGTGGGGCCTGAATCTAGAGTTTCAGAGGCGGTGAGGAGTACGGAGGGTGCATCGGGAATGAACAACGTGTGCAGGACCTTGAGCGGTGCTGGATTGGCAGGTACGTCATCAGCTGGTGGAGGGGGAGCTGGAGGGGGAGCTGGAACAAGAGATTTAACCACGTTTGAAATGACAGTGACGTCATCACCAGGCGGCTCTAGCGCTAGCGCCGAGCCGGCTCAGAAGCCGCCAGCTGAAGATCGTAAACGCAAGGGAAGAGAAGCCGACGACGAGTGTCACAGCGAGGTAAGTGTTTTTGTTTTATTTTGAAAAAGTTGAGTTACCATTGGAAGGGGGGAGGATTTGAATTTGAAAATGGTTATGATAAGATTATTTTTAGTTTTTTATATTTATTAATTTAGTTAAATATTTTTTATAAAAAAAATTTTAAAATTAACCAAATATCTCGTCTTAGGCCATTGGCTTTCGGGAATATGTGATTGGGTGAGATATTTTTATTAATTTATAAATTTTTTTTGTTATAATGTTTAATTAAATTAATAAATTTATAAAATTTAAAATAGTTAAATAGAATAAAATTAAATTTTCGAAATAGAGCCAAAAAAAATATACCTTATATGGGATAGAATAAAAATATTAAATCAATCTACCATTGCTGTCGCTGTTTTAATTTTTAATATATTGTTCTTGGCTGTGCGCGCGGGTTGGGTGACGTTATTTAGCCTCGGATTCTTAACGGTTAACTCGTGTTTGGTGCACGTTAGCAGTTGGCGCTTTGTGGGACAGTGATGGTTGAATCATCACTTTGTTCAGGCTCCTTTTTCATCGCCCTACATCTTACGTGTATCTGCCACGTGTATGGTGGGAAATGGCAATGGCAGGGTGGCTTTTAACACGTATTGGTGGAGCATGTAGGCTTGCAGTGACAGTGAGGCCCCAAAATATAGACCACTAAAGTTATGGTTTTGGTTGATTATTTTGTAGGCTAATATTTTATAGGATCGTTAGAGGATCCACTTGGGAATGCATCTCAGACTCATCTCACATGGACGCAGCCAGAAAAAAGAAAAAGCCTCTTGAGGTAGTTGGTAGTTTCGTTGGCGCGTGAGTTGGCTAATCTCCTTTAGAAATTATTAGTAAAGTAGACGGTTTACCGTTAATTGTCATTTTCTATTAATTAAAAGCAATCCACTCGCGTGCAATCAATTAAATAATTGTATAAGCAGATTGTAATCATTATTTTAAACAAAGTTATTAGAGTTTATTACTATTCTTATCCATAAGGCTACCTTTTTTAATTTAATCACCATAATCATGTGCCAAAAAGTGTATTAAGAAGCACCATTATTTACTAATATGTACTGTATTTCTAAATATAATATATATTATTTATTTTCCAAATCTATTGTACACCTAACGCATTAATTTACAAGAAATTAGGAAGTATCTTTTTAAAAGAAAAACAAAAAATAATATGAAGAAGAAGAGGCCCACAAAAAGCAGTACCTTCCACTTGTAATTGTAAGTACGAAATGAACTCAAATATCAACGGTAATACGGACTAATTACATTAGTATAACTAGTTAAGAAAGGAAAAAGAGAAGAGTCGGATGAAGAAGACGAGTTGGGGTACAATAACAATTAACAAAGCGTCAAAATCAAATTCGTCTTTTAGCTTCATATTATTCCCACACAGAGAGAAAAGCAGGAGGACCAGGACCTTATCTTTGGGCAATTGGGCTTGCCTGCCTGCCTGCCTCATAATAACACAAAAGCCAACACAACACTAACATCCAACAGAAAATCTGCTGAAATTATTTCTCCATTTCTCTGCTTCTTCTTCTTTATCTTCTTCCCTTCTTTCTCAGTAATATTAACTGTTTGTCTAGAGTTTCAGTTACTTGTCGATTTACTTTTATTTCTATGTTGCGGTAAGTTTTCAATGATTCTTTGATTCATTGCTTTAGAGTTCAATTTTGAATTCTGATATAGTTATATACGATTTTTTTTTTTCTTTTTATTAATAAGATGATGTATCACTGTGTTCCGGATTTTGACATGGACGAGGATTGCTCGATCCCTACGTCTTCAGTTCTAACACGCCCTAAAAAATCAGCTATGTAAGTAGTTAATTATCTCTACTTTCCAAGCTTCGTCTCGCTTCCAGAATCGTGTTTCCTGGTTTTAGTATTTTTGGTTGATGAATCAATTAATGAACAACAAACGACAGGCCTGATCAGGACGATGTTATGGAGTTGCTGTGGCAAAACGGGCAAGTCGTTTTGCAAAGTCAGACACAGAGAACTCCTAAGAGATCAACACCGGCTAAATTCGATGACGCCGTCATTCCAGCTCACCAATCAGGTTCCAGAGAGATCCCCTCACACCAGCAGCAACACCAAGACCACCTCTTCATGCAAGAAGACGAAATGACTTCTTGGCTTCACTATCCTCTAAACGACACCAATTTCGACTCCGATTTTTGCGCCGATCTTCTCTATCCAGCTCCTTGCGTTACTACTAACACCACCGCCACTCCTCCCGTTCGTACAAATCGCGTATCCGATTCACGCCCACCGAAGACTACAACTGCTACGGCTTCAAGGCCTCCGATTCCTCCGCCGAGAATGACGGAGAGTTTCGTGCAGTTCTCGAGACCAAGGCCAGTGACTGAAACATCAGGGCCGTCAAATTCAAAAAGTCTGATGGTGAGAGAATCGACGGTTGTGGACTCAAGTGATACACCAGCTGTGAGGCCTGAATCTAGAGTTTCGGAGGCGGTGAGGAGTACGGACGGTGCATCGGGAATGAACAACGTGTGCAGGACCTTGAGCGGTGCTGGATTGGCAGGTACATCATCAGCTGGTGGAGGGGGAGCTGGAGGTGGTGCTGGAACAAGAGATTTAACCACGTTTGAAATGACAGTGACGTCATCACCAGGCGGCTCTAGCTCTAGCGCCGAGCCGGCTCAGAAGCCGCCAGCTGAAGATCGTAAACGCAAGGGAAGAGAAGCCGACGACGAGTGTCACAGCGAGGTAAGTGTTTTGTTTTATTTTGAAAAAGTTGAGTTATCATTGGAAGGGGGGAGGATTTGAATTTGAAAATGGGTTTGATAAAATTATTTTTAGTTTTTTATATTTGTTAATTTAGTTAAATATTTTTTATAATAAAAATTTTAAAATTAATAAAATATCTCGTCTTAGGCCATTGGCTTTTGGGAATATGTGATTGGGTGATATATTTTTGTTAATTTATAATTTTTTTAAGAATGTTTTATTAAATTAATAAATTTGTAAGGTTTAAAATAATTGAATAGAATAAAATTAAATTTTCGAAATAGAGCCAAAAAAAATATACCTTATATGGGATAGGATAAAAATATTAAATCAATCTACTATTGCTGTCGCCGTTTTAATTTTTAATATATTGTTCTTGGCTGTGCGCGCGGGTTGGGTGACGTTATTTAGCCTCGGGATTCTTAACGGTTAACTCGTGTTTGGTGCACGTTAGCAGTTGGCTCTTTGTGGGACAGTGATGGTTGAATCATCACTTTGTTCAGGTACCTTTTTCGTCGCCCTATATCTTACGTGTATCTGCCACGTGTATGGTGGGAAATGGCAATGGCAGGGTGGCTTTTAACACGTATTGGTGGAGCATGTAGGCTTGCAGTGACAGTGAGGCCCCAAAACATAGAGCACTAAAATTATGGTTTTGGTTGATTATTTTGTAGGCTAATATTTTATAGGATCGTTAGATTTCGGCGCTGATCACGGGACTGGTTCCTTGTCCCATTACCCATTTGTCATTGGCCTTTGGCTTTGCCTCACGGAAAACTCTTTTTCCTACCCTTTTTTAAGGATTAGATTACCTCCTATTCTAATTGAAATTTTATAATGTATTAGTTATAAGTATCATTTTCAGTAGACCAAACGTAGGAATACTATATGTCTCCGTAATCCCCTTATTATTATTTATTATTTTTGGGTTGTATTTTTTATGGAAGCCCAAGCAGAAGGTGCGTGTTAATTTAGAATCCATCATTATAACCTATGGCGACTACCAGTAGTATGCATTTAGAGTTTTGAAGTAAGAAATACTGGATTACTGATACAACCTTTACGCGGAAAGTTAGTTTGAAAGGGGAACTTTTCAAATGTGCTGTCCACTTGGAGGTAGAATGTCAAGTTATTGAATCATTGCTTAAGGGAATTTCGTGGTTGATGCAATCTTTTAAAAAGTAGTTTCTAGGTTAGATGTATATTGTTAGTGTAGAGGTATTAGTTGGATCAACTGATCAATGTAGTCATCGAAATTACTATTTAATTTTCAATTTCTATGTAGAAATTTTATCATGAAAGTTAGCTGAGACAGATTTTAGAACGTTGATATTATTCATATAGGTGGCTCTTACGTTGCTGTTGTGGCAGACGTTTCCAAAGTTATGGCAGATGTTTCCAAAGATATGGCAGCTGTTTAAGTAGTAGTCAGGCAGAAAGATTAATTATTGCAAGTGCTTAGCTTAGTGCGAGAATGATGAAGTGCAGTAGTACCCCGACAGTTATATTAGAATTTAAAAGAGATGTCAAAACAAAGTGTTCCTTTATTTAACAGACAGGTGCCATGTATGTTGTTTGGTGCTCTTTATGCTTTGGTGTAAAAGTTACTAATTCTTATCTCATCATTAGTACTTTTCATCATCCTAATAAATATGGAATTTCTTGCTAAAGGACTTTGAGTTGGAATCTGCTGATGCGAAGAAACAAATTCGTGGATCAACATCAACAAAGAGATCTCGTGCTGCAGAGGTCCACAATCTCTCAGAGAGGGTTCGTACTTTGCTGATGTTAAAAGTTTGTTGAGAAATTTGGTTTCCTTTTTTTGTGTTTTCCATCCGTAGATGAGTGATATTTTCATTCATGTGCAGAGACGGCGAGATAGGATAAATGAAAAGATGAAGGCTTTGCAAGAACTCATACCTCGTTGCAACAAGGTAGTTGTGCATATAATTGATCCTTGTATCTTTGGCCAGCGTCAATTATTCATTTTCTTGGGACATTTTACTTTTTGTTTTCGTTTCTCTTGCTGACAATTGCTATATTCTTTTTTGAGTTTCAGTCAGACAAAGCTTCAATGCTAGATGAGGCAATTGAGTACCTGAAATCTCTTCAGTTGCAAGTGCAGGTATACTTGTGTTATTACATGGATCACAGCTGTATGACTATATATATATATATATATGTCACTTTCTACTGCTATATTAGAGAAGCTAGATTCAAGCAACCTCATTTAAAAGTTTTGAAGAGCAAGCCTACAACCCAAAATCACTTGTTATTTTAGAAATTGATGTTGATGGGTTCTAGATGAGTTAGATATACCTTGACATATATATATGTNTAATTGATCCTTGTATCTTTGGCCAGCGTCAATTATTCATTTTCTTGGGACATTTTACTTTTTGTTTTCGTTTTTCTTGCTGACAATTGCTATATTCTTTTTTGAGTTTCAGTCAGACAAAGCTTCAATGCTAGATGAGGCAATTGAGTACCTGAAATCTCTTCAGTTGCAAGTGCAGGTATACTTGTGTTATTACATGGATCACAGCTGTATGGCTATATATATATATATATATATGTCACTTTCTACTGCTATATTAGAGAAGCTAGATTCAAGCAACCTCATTTAAAAGTTTTGAAGAGCAAGCCTACAACCCAAAATCACTTGTTATTTTAGAAATTGATGTTGATGGGTTCTAGATGAGTTAGATATACCTTGACATATATATATGTATATTTTTTTTTTTTTTTAAACAGCAAAAAGGTGCCTGTTGGATTTCGGCATTTTATGTTGTGCTGGTGGCATGGAAATACTAAAACAAGTGTAGACTGTTTAAATTATGTTTTGTTTAGAACGTTGGAGTTAGCTGGGGTATTTTCTTCTAAGGGATACTTCCTAGCAACATTTTTGAGTTTTTCCTCGGGGCTCCAGTTAAAAACAAGATTAGTGAAGTAAACATGTAGGGAAAATTCTTTTCAGCATCCTGTAAGATTGGGTCCTCAGCTAAGCAGCCAGATGACCTTACAAATATTAAGAGATTTTCCATCCAGCCAAACACCGAGGGTATTTGATCATCTATGAAGAACAATATGATCAAATTCACATTAAAATTTTAGAAAGAAGAATTTTATCTTCTATATCTGTTTAAGGAACTCAGTTATATTCTTATTTAACCAGCCTAAAGTGGTGGCACTATCCTTGATATACTTTATTTGAGGTGTTATTTTCTGGATGGCAAGCGTAGAACAGCGTTTAATCTGTTTTCTTACTTCAATAATGGCCCTAGATCATTGCAATAGAGCTTTCTTTTACCTCAATGAAGCATTTGATCTATGCACCCATTCAGCAGGGAGAATGTACCACAACATTGAAATGACTGGATAGACCTATGGAGTGACCTTCCAGATGACATTTTCTTTCAGTTGTGAATGCTGGGAGTTTTTCATCTCCAGCTATTAACGCAGCTCCCTATTCTTATGATGAAGCTTTATGCCTTTTTCTGATTCTGACATGCATATGTGTAAACTTTGTGAACATACAAATGGTTAATTTCAATCTGTATATCCTGTAATTTTACAAGGCAATTGCATACTATAAATGCCTAGAGTTATTCAATGTGGTATGTATATTCACCACAAGAAGAAAGTTGAGCTTGTGCAATATTTATGACGAGAATTAGACTATAACTAATTTTTGCAGATGATGTCAATGGGGTGTGGCATGGTCCCAATGATGTTCCCCGGCATGCAACAGTACATGCCAAACATGGGAATGGGAATTGGGATGGGCATGGGCATGGGCATGGGCATGGATATGGGAATGAATCGGCCTATGATGCCATTTCCCAATGTTTTGGCTGGTTCACCGTTGCCAACACCAGCTGCTGCAGCTCATTTGGGTCCGAGGTTTCCTATGCCAGCCTTCCATATGCCAGCTGTTCCTGGGCCTGATCCATCCAGAATTCAAGCAACAAACCAGTCAGATCCCATGTTAAACTCTTTCAGTATGCAAAATCCTAACCAGCCACGGGTTGCAAATTTTGTTGACCCTTATCAGCAGTATCTTGCTCTCCACCAGATGCAGTTTCCCCTACAACAGGTAAACGGTTAATCTTTCACTCTCTGAAGAAGATCTTGGTGTATGGTCATTCTTATCAATACTTTGCCTCAGTTGTTGAGAAGTATTAGTAGTTATGCAGGTGCAGATCAGATATTTGTCTCTGCAACAGACATTATAAACTGCATTCCTCTGTTCTTCTGTTCTTGTTCAAGTATCAGGACGTCATAAAAGTTTTCTAGTGCAAAAATTTTTAAGTTAAATATTTCTTTGCTCATCTCTCTCTCCCATAGATATTGGAGTTTAGGCTATGCATATGTTCAAGTTTATGGGCTTAGACCTGTGCTGTTATTTCCACTGTCTTTGGAATTTTTTTTTTTTAAGTTACAACTCATCTTTTTCCAGAATCAGTCAATGACCCTGCCAAGTGCAAGCAAGCCAAGTAGCAGCAAGGGAGCTGAGAATCCAGAAAATCAGCCATCAGGTAGGCGCTTTCTTTTATATTTCTATTTAGTGATGTAAAAAGCACTTTATAATTTATAAAAGGAAACTACAGAAGAGTACAGGTTTTGTTGGCAGTTAAAGAGTGCTGAAGCATGTGCTGCTTTAAGCATGTGACTGCTTCAGCGTGTCATAATTATGTATAACAGTATACATAAGCTTGCATAGCGAGCATTTAAGCTCCTAGATTTACCTTTGAAAGATAAACATGCTATTTTTCAAAAACGAGTAGTCTCCACTTCCATTGTGATATACAGTTGAAAATGATAGAACTTGAATGAAAGGATAACAAGTTGATACATGTCAGTTTCAAAGATTAGTGGGGAGAATAGCATCATTCTGTATAAGAGAAGTAACCATTAATTGATCCCACTTGATTATCACAGTTCAATCTTACATAATATTCTGAATGTTTTCAACTTTTCTGATGGACAATACAGGAACGTGATACAATAGCTAAATTCTCTTGGTGGATAAAGATTTTAAGTTGACATACACTGTGGTATGGTGGGTTCGATGGGTTGCACAAGGCACGGAATGAGAAGATGCACATAGATGATGAATATTCCGAGAATTGCTGGATGATATTTGCAGCAGATCACATTTGTAAGGGCCATTGCCTCCCAAGCTTTGTAGTGTAACTGTAAGAGAACACCACCCACACCCACTTGAGAGCAGCTTTTGCTACTGCTAATGTGATATAACACAGCTAACATGTAATTATTACACCCCCCAAATGTAAAATTTATTTCTTGGCCTCTTAAAACTCTCTATTCTTATTCTGACCTTTCTTTTTTTTCCCCTTTGCTTTCTTGAATGTTTTATTTATTCCAATTGTGAAAAGTGCGTAAAGGATGACAAACTGGAGTTCAGATACTGTAAAAAGCATGTGGATAGATGTTTATGATATTGATATTCATTATTAAATTCTTATTCACCATCGTTATCAACTTGAGCCCAGAAAAGTACTACCACTTTCAATTGACCTCCTTCGTTGCTCCAGATTTTGTTATTAATTTATGCCATCACTTTCAATTTTCACTTTGAACAGCATCATAGTAATACTCTTTATTGGGTACCATGTGAAAGTTACTGATCGGGTCAGTGGTCACCTCATTTGAAGAATCGTGTTTCTTTACCTTTTCAACTTTGTAAAAGTTAATAATAAGAAGCATCGTACGGCCTCTGAACATAATTTAAAAGCCATACAAACGTATCGAATGTTCCCTGGTATTTTCTTATCCGCTCAAATTTACAAATTTTGATGTGTTTCAATCAATCTTCCACGCTGGTGGTGCGCATTCAGGCTTATTAACATTCTGCTGTCAGACACAGCACAGCTAGAATCCACAAGTCAGGATTCTGTTGCTACCATCAATTCTTTGAGGTATACCGAGTGGGTTAGTGAATCTAGGAAATTACTGTATCACATGTTCACGTATTAATAGAAATTCCAATTAACTGGACTATCATAGAGAAGAGTAGCAATAATTGTTCATTGAAGAGAGGCGCCAACAACACAACAACTAGAACAAATATATTGTTATGTGAAAGAACTTCTTTCATAAATGGAAACACTAAACCGTAGATCATCAGTCTCATTAGATTCTATTAAGATACTAAGTAACAACTGAAGCAGTCTATGTAGACTCAAGACAGAAAACCAATTTTGATCTGCTTCCATAAGCTAAGAAACGTTTAATTTGCCTTGCTCTAGTTACAAAAATGAAGAAGCCTTCACCAGTTTCAAGATAGCAGCACATTTTCACATCTCTGTGATTATACCATGAAACGGACTATCTAAATAGAAGTCACTGAACCAAGCAGGCCTCAAATACTTCTACTCGTATAGAACATCCAACTTTCTTCCACACATATCGCTCTTACCTCTAGCAAAAATTGCTTGTATTCATGGTCCAATAGCTGATCGAATCTAAAAACAGAAAAAAAACCAACTTACAGCTTAGTAGCTCAACATCCAAGTTCCTTAGAAATAATTCCATGGCAATTCAATCAAACATTCATAATTGCTTTCGAATATGAGTGTACACTCAACAGAAACTAAAAGGACGAATACCTTATCAGTGAATATTCGGAATACCTCTGTCCCCATAGCCTTGTTGAGTTCCTAACCAAAGTTAACGACCAAATTAGCAGGTAATTTTGCCATCAAGACTTAAATGAGAACTTTAAATAAGCAAAATGAGAAAATCATTTTTCAAACAGAAAAGTGAGAGGTAAAGAAAATCCTTGGGTATTCATTCTAGTAGGAAATGCAGTACTCACAGTCTCTGCATCTGGGGAGCCATCAATACCCAAGATGAGTTTCTGAAGGTTTTCATCCTTCAATGCATCACGAATTTCACTGGAAGAAGCTGCAACAAGAGAACATGACATACTTTCATCTTGCAGAATACTAATTATGGCCTCAGGATTTAATTTTAAAGATTACAAAGTTACATAACCATACCTATAGATTCTAATTGCACCTTTTGCAGCACCTCACTTGGTTCATCAACATTCAATGGCCTTTCTGCAGATAATTCTGGAATAGCAACTGAAAAATATGAAAACAAGAAATTAGAATTATGGGATTAAAGAACACATGCTTGTGTATAGACTATCATTTGTGTGCATGAATACATAAATTTCATGAAAATTGTGTTTCTTAAGCTATTATGATAGCCACAAGATAGCTCAAATAAGATATTGTAATGATTCTTCAATGCCTTGAAAAGCAAACTTGTCTAAGTTAACTCCACCTAAAGAAGGTTTTCCATTGCCTATACCCAAAAAGAAGAAAAAATGTGTTTAGTCACCTATAACCCCCCCAAAAAAATCATGTTAATGTCAAAATTGATGCTCCTCAATACCAGTCTTTTACAGAAGTGGTCAATCTGCTCAGTTCCTTTAGAAAATTAAAAAAACATGTCAAAGATTTAAGCAAAAATATATAAACGGACACAAGCTATCTAAAGCTATTAGTATGAGAATGCTAGAATGAGAAACAAAAGTTCTTCAATATAACTAATAACCAGGAAACAATGAGCAAGTTATTTGTTAACGGGATGAGCAAGCGAAGAGAAAGGTGAGTGTGACCTCACCATGACTTAAATGTCAACAGCATCATATCTAATAGTCCATTGAGATATAAAACAACGAATTCATGAAAGGTCAAATGGGTATTGAAAATACACATACCTCAGCTCTGAAAACTACGAGTTAGGAAAATGATTTACATGAAGTTGAGGGACAAACTTCTTACCTGATTTTTCCTGAGTAGATTCTGGCTTAACACAAGGAATTTCTGCATAAGTCATATAAGGTTGCATTAGTTTCCATAACTGGTAGCATAATTAACAGGCCGCTTCCAACTATTATGATGGAACAATAGTAAATATCCAGATTGGTTTTCCCTTGAATGTATAATTGGTGAATATTTGTCTGTACAAACTCGGACAAATACCATAACAATCCATTCACTTATGTTTAGTTTTGATTCAATCAAATCTCATCAAGTAAAAGCTGAGATACCTTTGTGTTTCTTGAAACAGGCTAGAGAACAACTGAAAGCACGAAGAGAAATATATATAAGAAAAAAAAAAAGGTTAAAGTCAACAATAATAAAAATACGAGTGAAAAACAAATACGTAAAGAGGTTGAGCTTACTAAGGAGCAAGACAGGTTGGGCACTTGTACTTAGACTGAGCTTCAATGCAGACTTGACACTTTCGAGAAGGAGGACCCATTTCAACTAATTTAATCTTCTTGAAGCCTGTAGAAGAGAACCATTATATTTAAAGAAATTATTGTAATTGAAAGTCGTGGAATAAGAGTATAATCTTCAATTGATAGAAAGAATTGAGAGACGAAGCTGAAAGCTCGCTTACGCTGCGGAGGGTGGCAGGCCACAGCGATTCGCCAGTGGGCGTCACTTCAAGCAACACCGTCTGTGCCCTCTTTTTTAACTTTGCCGTTCAGTTTGGGAAAAACGGTTGGAAAGGCGGAGAAAATAGTAATTAAGATACTTTTCTATGGAATGGTCGGGAATTCACGAGAATTGAAATATTTTTTTATAGAGAGATTGTGAAATATTAATTAAGTTCCATAAAATATCTTTAATCCCAAAATTTGATTTAGATGTTCAAAAATTACCAGTTATATGCACTGAAGATTTTCATAATAGTCACCTCTTACAAGTTGGGACTTTCGGATATAGATGTATATAAAATTACCAATATATGGTTTACACTCATTTCGTATCGTAAATTCGCCCATTAATATTAACGATTCTATTCGTGTTTTCAGGAATATAATACGAAATATGAAGAAGATAAATCATATGACTTTGACTTGAAGCAGTTGAGCTAAAAAGTAAAAATGCAACCATGTATGAAGCTGCTAAAGAAATAAATGGAAAGTTTAATTAGTTAATAAGTATCATTACTTAAATAAAAAATGCCGCTGAGTATTATAATCATTTGAAGCTGAACGACAAATGTCATTAAAAAGTAAAAACAGATGAATTTGGAAATCCAGTGCAAGACATAAACAAACTAAAGAGTACATGTAGAATAATAATCTTTCACATATAAAGCCCTTCTGGTACCCCTTCTTTCTTCTTGTACATCACCTTCTCCTTTGCCTTCTTAACATCTGCATGCGTCACCTGAAGAAAGGGATTTGAAATATCAACACCTTAATCAAAATCACTTTCATCAGTAATAATCCTACTGAACGACAATCTAATAACGTCGCCACCAGATCACAAGGGCAATGTCAATCGTCTCATGGGGAAGTCCTACCTAGGGCACAAGGAAAAGTTGACAACTAACACACATTCTCCACAGACTAAAGCCTGAGGAATTAGAACTTCCCATACCATGTGCCAAGAAACCTTAATCATAGTAAACTTATGATGTGGTAAACTCACCTTCATGCGTCGCTCTCTTAAAGCAAGCAATCCAGCTTCTGTACATATAGCCTTTATATCAGCTCCAGATAACTCATCTTTGGTCATAACAAATTCTTCCAAGTTGACATCATCAGCCAAAGTCATCCTTGATGTGTGAATCTGCAATCCACAGACATGAAGATTACCAAATTAAGTAATGCATGCTTAACGATCATCCAGCACAAATACCTAGGGGAAAACATTTTCTATGTCCTGCTTTCACATAACAATGAAATGTTACTGGTACCTGGAAAATACGTCTCCTTGTTTTGATATCAGGAAGAGGAAATTCAATCTTTCTGTCTATTCTACCAGGCCGCAGCAAAGCTGGATCAAGACTTTCAATTCGGTTTGTTGCAAGTATCACTTTGACATCTCCTCTTGAATCAAAGCCATCTAATTGGTTCAGCAATTCCAACATTGTCCTCTGAATTTCACGTTCACCACCTGAGTGGGCATCATACCTGTAGAACATACACCAATTATTTAACAAAAGCACTCTAAGCCTGAGAACAATGGCATCCATGGGTAATGTCAATTAACTCACCTCTTTGTACCAACTGCATCAATTTCATCTATGAAGACAATTGAAGGTGACAGATCATCAGCAACCCTGAAAAGTTCCCTCACTAATTTTGGTCCATCTCCTAAGTACTTTTGAATTAATTCACTACCAACAACGCGCAAAAAGGTTGCCGATGTAGAATTAGCCACTGCCTGAAAGAATATGAATGAATCTTATGAACACAGAATTATTTACAATTGAGAGTGACAATTCAAATAGAACAACCATTTCAGCTCTCTATATTCTATCTAAATTAACACCAAGAGATAGAAAAAAGCGAAAACCCATCATGATCATGATAGGCCTGCTGTGCATAAGGTGTACACACTTAAGGGACGTAATAGGCATTGAGAATAGTTTGTTAAGGGGTTATGGTCCACGTGGCTGTGTGTGTGATGTGGGTGTGAGAATTGTGTGATTGAGGGGTAGTTGCGGGAAAACTTAGTATATATTGTTGAGATATAGCAAGAGAGGGCTAATCATTCTTTTAAGAGTAAACAATGGAGGTCCCTAGCTCCTCGAAATGCTAGGATTATCCAGCTACTGTTCTTATTTCATTTTCCGCCAATAGTGATTTCCAGTCTACTTGATTAATATACAAAGTGAGGATTATTCAGAATTGTTAGTTTCAGCTTCTGTTCTTGTATTTTTGGCTATATGTTGAATTGATTTGCAGGTAGTTCTATCAGTTCATTTCTTATTCCCCAAAGCAGGCATAAAACCAACATGTTTATTTTCTTTTAAGGGGTGAATGGTAAACAGCTAAAGGTTCACTTCACGAAAGCACCAATAAGCATACTAAAGATTAAAGAAGATTGTTCATAATGCATAATATACATGGAACACATAAACTTAAACACAACATAACCATGGAAAACATAAGCTTAAACACAACACAACCGCAAATTTCAGTTGAGTTTATACTTCAGGACACACTAATACAGCCAATATTATCATATCAAAATGGAATTGCAGAAAATCCCATTTGCTATCGCAATACAGTTGTATACCAAAATAGCAAACATAAGAAAAGTTGAAATTCAAAGCCTCTGGGAGGTGGTGTGTATCCGTGTCAAAGCAGAACAAGTATAATTGATGCTCATCAAATAGAGTAACTTAAGAAGTTGCAAATATAAGACTAAAGAAAACCTAGTTATGCAAAGCTGACTACATTAATCCCAAGAAGTCAATCATTTATGACACTCATAACACTATATGTTGTACTACTGAATAGCAGGAATGCATACAAGTTAAGGCAAAAGAAATTCAAATAAAGAGGTAAATACAAGTCAAGAAGGCAACAGTTAACCTTTGCAAGCAGTGTCTTGCCAGTTCCAGGCTCTCCATACAAAATGACTCCCTTAGGAGGCTTAATACCAATGTCTTCATACAACTCAGGATGAGTGAGAGGAAGCTCAACAGCTTCTTTAATCTCCTGTATTTGAGCATCTAAACCTCCTATATCAGCATATGACTCCAATGGAGCCTTCTCTACCTTCATTACTGACACCATTGGATCAACATCATCTTGCAGGAGCCCAACAACCGAAAGAACCTTAAAATATAAATAAACAAATAACACATTAAAACCCTAATTTCATTTCACAATTTCAAATTTATAAGTAAAAAGAAGAAAAAAAATATACCTTATTGTGCATCAAGATAGCACAACCAGGCTCCAGCTGATCTTTATCCACAAAAGATAAAATCCCCACGTAATACTCGGGTCCCACAGACGACGAAACAATGGCGTGATTTTCATCAATTAACTCTTCTAAATTTCCAACACTCATCGGCGACCCTCTCAAGTCGTCAACTTTTGAGCGATCTTCCTCCGCCTTCTCTTCTTGAGGCTTCAATCTCTCCTGATTGGCTACAAACTCTTCTTCCATTAATAGATAATCCTTGATTCTCTCCAGCTTTAACAACCTAAGCTTACATTTACTCAACGGCGTAACAGTCGGGAGACGGGCTGCCGCTTCGGACCCCTTCTGTTTGCGCTGTTTGCGTCCCACGCGAGCAGGGGGTGCTGCAGGTTCGAATTTTTTATCTTTCTTGTCGGCCCCATCGCCCTTCCGATCTCCTCCTGGACCTTGCCTGTTTAAACCGCCGGGCGTGCCCTGACCCATAACTTTCTAATGCCGCGATCTCAAACTGAGGAGAGTTGGCTTTGGGGTCAAGTCACTTTGCTTGCTTTTGTGTTTGGGCACTGAGAGAGCTTTTCTATTTATTTAGGTAGAGCCGTGGAGGGATATGTGCCATAAGTGGGCTGGATTAGTATTGAGCCTTAAGTGGGCTGGACTAATATTGGGCCTGTGTAAATAAGGAAGGGAAAAGGGCTGGATGCAGCAGATAACAGCTTTGACAATTTTTGAAATGTGTCAAATGGCTCAGTCAGTCCTATTAGTGTTTAGGTGTCGGCTAGGTAAGTGTTATAATAATCATCTCTATTTAAGTAGATTTGCCATTTACTCTTTAAAAATAAAAATACTGATTTTGCAATATATATTTAGCATAGTAAAGACTAGAGAGTATGTACTTCTGCAATAATTATTATATATCTCTATCATATTCTACTATTATATCATAAAAACTCTTATAATTTTTATTTTCCAATTATTATTACCAAATCACTTACTCCCTCAGTGATCCCAATGATACATCAAACGGTACTGTTTATGCTTGTCGCTATAAACATAAATCCCATCTTCCTGGGCCTTCCACCTGCAGTAAGTAAGAGTACAGAAGTCTAACAAAAACTTGTCATCCACTTTGAAGACGCTAAATGATTTTTGGCCACCAACCCACCACATGGTGCAGTAGAAGAGTATGGTGGACGTGAAGTTTATGCGAAATTTAAATTTAAACTCTCCCCGTACAGGAATGTGTTGGAGTTCCAAATCGTTGTATTTGGATTTGCAGTGAGCCTCCAGCGTATGGTTCTTGAAATCATTCACTATCTGGACTGAGAATTTGTTGAAAAGAGATTCTGTTACTGGTGTTTTACTCATGCAAAGAGCCATCACCATAAACACCACCAAACCTAGTCTCAAAGAGACCTGCATTGTTAATATTTGCTTTTGTTCTATAAAGCACACTGGATGCTAATTTATGCAGTGAAAAGTTATTCATGTTTTATTTTCCGAGATGAATCTAGATAATTATTATGAGATGAACCTATATTTTAATATATTTTTTATTTCCTTTATCACCGATTGATAATTTTAATTAAATGGGCAGGACATTAAGGCTATTGTACGTAATTGCCACACCATAGTTAAAATGTATTAATTGACCTCCTTTGAATAGCTGAGCTAGCCAACGAATATCATATTATTCATAACAATTTTGGTAATTAATTAACTTGATTGGCCTAACCTAATCAAGATATAGGTTGTTTCAGACTTTCAGTATACATTTTTAAAAGTAATTAATGCTACAAATCCAAGATTTTATTTCAAATATTTCATACCAGTAATTAGGGGTGTTCGGTTTTGGGTACCCTACACTTTTAGAAGGAACCGGAACCAAAACCAACGGTTCTGGTTCCGAGATATCCAGAACCAGAACCTGTAACAACGGTTCTGGTTCTGGTTCTGGGTACCCTGTAAAATTTATTATCCCCCCCAAAGTTTTTAAAATGACAAAAAACTCTTAAAAACTTACAAATACCCCCCACTTGACACTTGTTATTAACAAAATTAATTATAAATTTCAAACTCCAAAATTAAAATAATCCATTGAAAATCACAAATTCAAAATTAAAATATTACAATACTCCGTTGAAAATCACAAATTCAAAATTATAAACTCCAAAACTAAAACAATGAAATTACATAACATATAAAATAAGTAACATAACAATTAACAATATCCAAATATGAAAAACTAAAAATATCTCATGCTCTATGCTCTAAATTGCTTGCCTCATGTGCATTAATTTCTACGAAACAAATACAAGAAAATCAATTAATAAGTTCAAAATATTGAATACAATAATTTGGGAATAAATTAACTAAATATGAATATAAAAGAATGATATCTTATGTACAAACTAATGCCTCCAAAATATTTAATAAACATAGTGTTTATATGATATTATATCATCAATAAATAAAAATATTATTACTGCTAGAATTCTACATAAGAGGCCAAAAAAGAGAACAAAAGATAGTAAGAACAAGCCCACGTATACTTAAATGTTTTATTCAAGTTCCAGTTCAGTATTAAAGGCAAATCTGTTGATGAAATCCTACATTCTAGTTAACATGACGAATACAGGTAAACATCATCGTAGTAATTAAAAAAGGGAGTCTTAGGATCTTCAAATAAGACGTAAATAACAAGCAAATCCAAGCTGTATAAGAACAAAAGATCAAGAAGCAATTCAGTCACTATTTAGTACCATGCCAGTGAAGTTAGAGGCAAGTAACAAAAGTGAAAACATCAAGCAGGTCAACATCCTCTTTGGTAAACAAATAATGGATTTCACGGGATGTTGTGAATACTCAGGACTCCATATCACCTAACAAAGACATTTAAGAAATCCATATAACACACTTCCATAAACATCAAGTATTGCATTCCAAAGGATTCTCTAGCAGCTGCAGTTCGGTTTGTCATTCTTTATGATGAAAACTTTTTGAAATTATTGAAGTTGGAAGGATTGAGAACAGATGCTACAGATTGAAGTGCTAAATTAATAGTGCAGAGCAACAGAAATAAAGGAATGTATGTTAGATAATCTAACTTAGATGGCGTAGTTAATATTTGCAGCTTCAGTCAACTTTTTGTAAGATAAATTAATGATATGTAGAGTTTATTTATTGGTTCTTTTGTGGGAAAGTGTGGAAGAGTTGTTCTAAAGCACACCAAACTTTTGGTTAGCAAATTTTGATGAACTGAGTAGATGCAAAAGTAAGAATCTAATGCAACCTTAGTCCACATATTTATGGACTGACGCTGGAGAAATATGATGATGAACATGTATATTCAACTAAGGTTAGATTCAACAATCGTGAATTATACTTTTTGTAGTTCATTATACCTTTTTGTTTAAATAAAAATTATAATTTAAGTTTACTTTGTGGTATTTTTGTTTGAAATCTAAAAGCTACAGATGTTGTATTTTGTGCTTCTAAGGGGACTTGGAACGTGTAACACAACACAAGAACAATCAACAGGCAATATCCTTTTGTGAATCATGAGTTGTTTTGCTGTAATTTGAAATTGAAATTAAAGTCGAAATGAAGTTACTCTAGATCAAGTTAAAACACTACATACACCAGCACAAATGCAGGCACCACAACATCAAGTCATCAACTATGCATGTGTCGACACACAGAGCAAAAGAAGGCAAGGGTTTCAACTTTATCTATGATATCACCAGAAGTAACAGCAATGTCAAATCAGAGACATTCACAAACCGAAACAATGCTAAGGATTTTCAAACATCACTATGATAAGAAAAATGAAAAGATATATAAAATCAAATCCATTACAAATAAACCTAGAGCTAACTTGATAACGACTTTTTACATAATAATTAATCAGTAAACACATCACAGGTTGGGTATTGTGTGATATAGAGTTCATTTATGGTCAAATAAAATTAAAAGAAAGAAATGGAAATTACCTTAAGAAATTGGAGTGCTTTAGCGTCTTCTTCTAGATTCCAATGATCACGCTTCACCAAACAAATTAAAAGAAAAAAAAGTTGAAGTTTTTGCCTTAATCTGAAGTGAGTGGACAGAGACCAAGAGCAGATGAAGATCGTGAGAAGGGAAGAAAGAAAATGATTTTTTTTGCCCTAATCTGAAGTTTTTATATGTGGCAGGTAAATTACAAACCCCCCCACTCTTTAATAATATTTTATTTCAGTCCCAATTCTCGGTTCCGGTTCTTGACTGTAGAAACCGAAACCGAAACCGGAATCATACAGTAATGGTTCCAGATTTTTGGAACCAGAACTTACCCGTTTAAGATCGGTTCTGGGTAGGAACCAGAACCAAACCCCTGGTACCCAACAGTTTCGGTTCCGAACGGTTCTTTTAAACACCCCTACCAGTGATAGATGATATGTTTCCTATGTGGTAATCTCATATCAATTTCAAATCTGTCAATTATTAGATACATTTTAACAATGATATAGTAATGCTAATACACTAATGTATAAATCATTGCCTGGTTTTTTTTTTTTTTGGTATCCCAGAGTGTCTGAGTCAGTTTGCACGTACTTCAACTAATCCTTTAGGGTCTTGAAATTAACGGCCAAATAAGTCTCAAATGGCTATCCTTTATTAGTAGTCATAAGGATTCGAACTCAGAAGACCTAAGAGGTCCAAGTGAATCTTGTTCTTTCAACTGCTCTATGGCTTAATGATTATCTTACCAGAAGAAAAGAAAATCCTAAACTCCATTGAAAGCATTATCATATCAAAGGGTTCGATATAGTATAGTACAACACATTTAAATTTAGATTCATAACATGACCATAGACTTAGAGCATGGCTCGGCCATTGGAGATTCCCTTATCAAAAAGACCATTGACGAGCACAACCCTAAAGCAATGATAGTTCAAATTAGAGGGCATGGAAATTCCCTTTATTTAGAAGCTTATATATCTAAGAACATAGCCATACATGGAGCAATCAAAGCACATTACACTCTAATTAATTTGTAATCATCATAATCGCTCAGTCTTTCCAACTAAGCCAAAAAATATCATAGCTTTCAGGGACATTTTTCAAGTAAATTCCATCATCTTTGGCAACCCAAATGCAATGTTTATAATTGCATTTGTAAGAAAGGGATTCATCCACCCAAAACACTTTAAACTTAGCATGAAGTCTTTCATCTAGCAAGCTTGAGTAACATTAGAAAAGTGTACTACTAAAAAAGTTGACCTTAAATTTCCAAGTAAATTCAGAGCTTGCCGTAAGGTTGTGTGCACCAAGATCATCATCAACAGATTTGCATTGTAGATACATAATCTTGTTGTGGTTCAACCCATTTATAACATGAACGTGCCAGGCTTCCAATGCTAGTGAGGCATATGAGGGCTTTATGGCTAAGGTTGTGATACCCTGCAATTTTTGTTAATTTCTTTAAGAAGTTTTCTTTGTAAATTAGAGGGCAAGTGTAAGGAATTGAAACCTTGAGGGGGAAGAGTTAGAGCCGAAAAGATGGAGGACTAAATTGAAAATTT